CGGAATAGCAATAAACTTGGGTAAATGAATTGTTTAGAATGTCAGTTTAATAGTGTTACTACCTAACAAGCAATATCGATATATGAAGTCTAATATGAAAGTGAGATTTTCTTTCCTTAATCATGATTCTAGATATTATTTGGGACAAAATTAACTCGAACAAAATTATTTTTATTTTTAAGATTAATTTATACTAATTAAATAAAGATAAGAACAAGCAAAAATAAGATGCAAAGTAAATGAATATATTTCATATTTGCTAGAAATGAAGTCAGAAAACAACAAAGAAAAACGTCCTTTAAGGCTTATCCAAAATTAAATAAAGACTTCTTTTTCTCGTCCTTATGCCGCCGCTTACTTTCTATTTTCGTTTTTTTCTTGCTTCAAGAAATGACAAGATGTAATCTTCAGGAAAGAGTTCATTATTTTGTGTCAGATGCGAAAATAAATCTGAGCTTTAGCGTTTCAGTAACGATAGCGTCTGAGTAACGATGGACCATCTAACTGGTGAGAGAGGACGGGGAGATAGGACAGTGGTCTAAGAATAATACCGCAGTGACATTTGTGTACAGGTGTTAATGAGAAAAGTTGTCGATGAATATTTTTCTCTTTGATTGTAAAGGAAAAGGAAAAGAAGCTAAATTTTCTGCTTTATTTTAGGTAAAAGGGTTACACTTTCAGGCACATTGTATTATGGAATATTTTAGAAAACGAATATGCGAAATGATAAATATCCGAAAAGGTGAATATAACTTTAAGGTAAAGAGAAGGAAGGGATACGAAATTAATGTTTAGTGTCGAATAAATCGGAAAAGTGTTATGCCTGTTTGTTTCTTTAGTAGAAAGTAACGTTTACGACAAATTAGTATTTGTCCATTCCTTTCATATTTGTTGGAGTCATCGCTTTCTTCTCAGTTAACTAACTCAACGGTATTCCTTATTCTTTAACTATTTGATATTTTGTACGTGTGCTATAATGTGCTGACATATGTAGTAACTGCTGTAAGTGTTATACATACATCATAACATTAAGTAATTAACGATAGAACGTGAAAGAAAAAATGAAGAATTATATTGCTTGAAGAACGATACACCATCTGACAACATTAACTTTAACAGAATCTTTTAATGGATTCAAAAACAGTTTGCTAGATTGAAGCGCTGAAAAACAGGTGAAATTATTCAAAATGGTAGATTAGTTTGGTTTTAAATCTAAATGATGTGATAAAAATAAGAGAAAAAATTACTTATCATTTTATTCAAAAAGCAATTTTTAAGTGTTGTAATAAATCTTTCAACTAATGTTTATTTTTCATTTTGATGAGAAAAGTAGCAGCAACATGATATTCTCTCATAAAATAAGTGAAAAACTAAGTCTTAACTTATGTATGAATAAATGAATCTGACAGGTGAAAGAATTAAGCACAATGATAAAACGTTGAAAGTAAAAAGCAGTCAGTTGGATAGTTCTGATTTTTTCATTAACTGCTTCTAATTATAGAGTGAAACAATCTTTGATCTGATTCATTTTTTTCTTCAACTTTTTAAAAAACAAGAACTATCATGTGTTTATGTACAAATTTTTCGTTAACTGATTGGGTGACAGAGACAAATGGTTGACTTTTTGTCTCTATCTCTCAATCTTTTGAATCAACTTTTCACCTCATTTTTGTAGCCCATTTTCTAATGTAGCTAATATGTAATTAAGAATATAAGTACAGGAAAGAGAGCGGCACTATTTCAAGTAATGACAATCAACCTCATTTGAATTTTACTAAAGTAAAAAAATACAATCGATTTCAGTTTGCCAGATAAATAAGACAGGTGATGGAAATAATGTGAAGATAAAAGTAGTAGAAGTTTAGAAAAAGCAGTTCCAATTGGATTTAATAAATTGTTAATGAGTAGTGCCAATTGAATTTGATGAATTGTTGTGCTTACACTGCTAATGCTTCCATAATTGCAGGATAAATTTATTCAAAAAAGGAGTTTTTTCATGATGTTTTTTTAAAAATCAGAGAACAATTTGATGAGGGGATAATATTCAAAATCTGAAGAGGGAAAAATAGAAACTTTGCAGGAGTTCCGGAAATAGAATTATCCTTCATGTCGATGAAGCGATTATAAGGGAGAAACTAAAAACTTTGAAAAAGGAACTGGACTGAATATGAAAGGAACAAGAATGGCCAAGAAAGGATAGCGGATGATTCCCATCGATATGAAAGATAAATGATAGTAATGATGATAAGGAGAGAGAGAGGAGATCTGTTTTCGAGAGTGATTTATTTATAAAAGAAAAATAGAAGAACAGGATTGTAGGCGAAAGGAAGAGATTTGAATTAGTGGTTTTTAGTTTTGGTTTCATTAACGATACAACTGTTAGCAAAGAGTAGTTACTGATAGGAAGGAACACTAGATATCATCATTACTGCTTGGAGACTTTCCACACAGAGAGAGAAGGAGAGAGAGAAAGGAGAGAATTATATATTGAGAGGAAGACGGGAACTCTCTGAGAGCAATCTGAAAGTTGTCTGTCACATACAGCAAATAAGGAAAGCAGAAGCAAATTCTAGCTGTGATATGGCATAAGCCAGAAGATGTTTGCTGTCTGAGTAAACATCTTTTGGCTTATTTCTGGAGTTAGGCCTTTTTAACTGTGGACATTCAGGCCTTTTTGGCTATAGACATTCCCTCACAATGGATTTCTTTGTTTGGAATTCAATTCTCCTTGTTGTGAACGATACAGATTTCTATGCATTTTACATCCACCCATGTAATGACTAATATGAAATGTATTCACTACAGAGACAGAGAGGAAAAACTCTCAGAGAGTTTTTCATTCGATAATTCACTGATTAAAACATCTCAGAGAACTTCTCAAATCTTTACAGTATTTCTTTCGCTTCTCTCTCTCTCTCTTGCTCTCGCAATAAACCGATTAATAGTAAATCTTTCATCCGAATGATAAATTAACGATCTATTAGAAAACGCTTTCTGACGCCAATAATAACCAAGAAACCATAGTTTAATTTTGTTTCAGTTAAAATTAAATGGTTGATAATTTAGATGAATGATCTGAGGATTAAATAGGAACAATCAATGAATTTTTTTTTCGAGGAATTAAGAGCAATAATGTAAATAAATAATAAAATATATCAGTGAAGAGGATCATATGAGATTGCTATTACTGTTGCTTATCATTCATAACACTGCTAGGCTATGTTATTTAGAATAAATGTCTCTCAATAGCCTAGTCATAATTTTCGGGAGAAGTAGATCCTATCCGAAATGAAAATTAATGAAATATAATTTCATTTTAATGTTATACATGAATAGAGTATTGAAGAGTAGTAGAGAAAGTAAGCCAAGGAATACCAATACTAGCAAACAAACATTTGAAAAGTTTCTGGGAAGCTAGATACTTAGTTGGCAAAGCAAGCGACGAACAATTAAGGAAGTGCAGAGAGAGAAGAATATGTTGTTATATGCAAAATCCTGACTTTTCCCTGACTCTTCAAATTAAGGGCTTATTGCGCTTCAATCGAGCGCTTCAAAAGCATTTCACAGAGTTCAACATTAGAATTGCCATTTCAAAAGGAATGTTTAAAAATTTTTAAAAATTTGGGTTAATACAGGAATTTTTCAAATAGTGGGAATTTGAGTCTGGCTATTTTAAATAATTCTAGATCAGCCAACGCCTTTCATGGGGTACCATGACGGGAAAGTTTGGCACTTTAACTCAAAGTTTGGTTCATCCCACAACGCCAGTTCTATTTACCAAATCAATGGGCAATTCTAATTCTATTTTTTAATGAACAAAATTCAAATTAATATTTATTAAACATAACAGCTGCAAAAAAGTCGAATTTTGAGGATAGAAAGTTGACTTATGTTTCTACTAATTAATTAAACAAGCTGCCAGGAAAGGAAATGTTGAATGGGCAGAAAATATTTCTGTGCAGAAATGATGCCAAGATAAAATGGGAGTTATGACAGAAAGATAAAGGAATCTTTCAGGTTGTAATCGACAAATCAGCTTTTTTCAAATAAGTATTTTTCATGCAAAACATTTGGTGCATTCATTATTCAGTAATGCGAGGAACAGTGAAGAAAAAATGACGAAAAATATTTTTAAAGAAGAATTTAACAAGCTTATATTTTATTATTTTTATTATTCTATATTTTACCATATATTATTATTTGATTTAATGCCTTATGATTGACTGAGGATGAGAAATGGGAATTACTTTGTGTTACCGAATATGACAGTTGGTATTTATTTTCAAGAAAGTCGAAACGTCTTAATAACTGTCAATTTCGAAGTCCGAAGATTACCACATTTACAGGAATCATAAATTTTGTTTATCATAATATTTTTTTTTTACTTTTTACATATTTATCTATCGAAAAAAATTTACCCATGCGATCAAACGGATTCAGCGAAATTTGGATAAATCCAATTTTGTCAATTATTGGATTTCAAAAAATTTGTCTTCATCCCTAAAGCACTTTTCACACTACAGTAGCCTAGTCCTGAGTGGTTAAAGCACCATTTTCAATTTTTAGTGACATAACTTCTTTCCTATGGCATTCATTTGTACTTATCGTCATTTAAGGCTAAAGTTTTAGGAAATCCAAGATTTCGTAGGATCCAAATTTCCATACCAATTCTTTTTCAAACTTAAATAGAAATTTGAATATTTTAAACATTCCATAGTCGACATAGTCCTTACAAAGCGATGCAATCAGTTCCAAATTGTCATTTCACCATTTTATTTATTTCTCGACCGGACAGTATCACATTTGACAGTTCATGCTTCTCGGGATTTAATTAAGTTTGAGATAAAATCAGTGATTGTATGAATTCATTAATCTTTCTTCCTGGATTTGATCACTTTCAATTTCTGCAATATTTTTCATACAAATCATATTTTTTTGAAAGTTTTTTTTTGAGTTCATTTAGTAAGCGTTCGCAAGTTGTTGATGTACAGGTGAAAGCAATGCAGAAAAATGAAGAGGCAATAGCATCCGGTGGTACTAAAAGGTTGTTATTTTCATCTGGCTCACAAATCAACAAACATTTTAATCTGAATCAATTGATAAGCTCTGGTGGCTTCGGACAGGTTCAGAATCTTTCAATAATCATTTGTAGTAAGCAAGATTAAAGATTGTCTTTTCAATTTTAAACGTATCAAGCTATTCCTTTAAAATGCAGCTGGGAACTTATTCACGGTGAAAATTTTCAAAGTTGAAGCAATAGAATTGATGGTGACATGATAAATAAGGAATAATACCAAAATAAGTAGGAAATAGTTAAGGAATAGAAAATGAATCTGAAAGCTATAAATTAGCTCTCTCAGCACCGCTTATCAAGGCATTTCCGGTACTAACCAGTTCCGGCCCTAAATAGATCTCGAGATACACGGCATACTCTCGCCATCAATACTTTCGCACAACATCGGTTCAACAGGTTGAGTTTTGACTTAATAATTATGAGACAAACTAGAAACATCCCATGTTTAGGTATATTCTGGCACAAATATTAATACAGGTAAAGTGGTCGCCATAAAAGCTGAGTCGATTGATGCCAAGGTATATGTTTTTTTTTTTTTCTTTTCTTCTTTTTGGCAATGTCTATGCTGAGTGTTAAAAATGAAGAATATGAAATGACTGGTAACTAAATTTTGGCTACTTCAAAATTGAACAAAAAATTTTCATGCGAACTGACGAAATTATCTCTGAGGGCTATTAAGCATCTCATTCTTAAATTTTCAAAAACTTCCAAACATCCATTTGTCGCTTTGGTGCAGATGGTTTTCATGATTAATAGCTATGACAGATTCCATTGTTACGCATAGAAGCAACCTGTTTGGAAGCACTCAACCATACCATCAGGCAAAATTACCGGAAACCTCCCAAAGAGCCAATACCAAATTATTATGGATACGGTGAAACACATAACGTTCGATATATGGTTTGTCCATAAGTTCTCGGAATCTTCTGAATCCCAAACTTCTTTCGTTGTTTCCTCTGTCTGATTAAAAAAGAGGGAATTTGTCTCAAGAAATCCAGTTCAATAATGAATGCACAAACATTTTGCTTTGGATCTAAATAATGTCTCACTAAATGCTGTTAATTAAATTTAGCAATCAGTTATGATCTAACTGTTGCTTTCAAATTGTGATTGTTGAACGTTCTGAAGAGATACAAATAATAATGGATTTATGCAGCAAAAGCAATAGATTTAGATAATGGATTTGTGTGGAAAAAATATTCGTGAATTGAAGAAAAGCACAAAAGAAGATTGCTTCACCATAGTTACATCACTTTGGCTTATGAAGAAAATGATTTTGGCACTTAAATTTTTGCATCGCCTGGGATGGATTCATCGGTGATGATAGTTTCCAGTTTGGTTCAACAGATATCAAAAAGAGAAATGAATTCGTAGGCGTACATTAACATTTATTCAATGTGACTGAAAATGATGAATTTTCTTTTGAAGAGATGTGAAACCTGCAAATTTCTGTGTTGGAATGCAATTGCAAGGAAGGCAGGAGCTGTACCTCGTTGATTTTGGTATGGCACGTCATTTTGTGGCACGCAACGGTGTCATCAAAACAAGACGAGAGTCGAGTGCATTCCATGGTACCGTCCGCTATGCATCCCTTACGACACATCGACATCAGGTAAACAACCTTTTATCTCTTAGTATTCTGTGGTATAAATCGTAACGACATGAAGCAAAGAGAGGATTACCAGTAAAGTATCTAATTAACACAAGTTAATGCATGCGCCAAAAATGTTTGCAATATTATTCATCATGATACGATCTTTAGTGTGAATGATTGTAGAGAAGAACCCTTTAAAAGGAACATCGAATTCAATTATTTCTATCAGGATATGTCGCGTTATGACGATCTTTGGTCTGTTTATTATATCACCGTGGAAAATATGGTTGGACAGTTGCCTTGGCGTTATGTGAACGAAAAAGCTGAAGTAGAAAAAATGAAGGAAAACATAGATTTACTGAGACAGAAGTATGGAATGGAAGCAAATCCACCAGCATCACTGGTGGTGCTTCATCGTCATCTTTGTCGTGCCAGTTTCTATCATGAACCAGAATATCATCACATCGTTCAAGAAATCGTAATTTCTATCACTTCCTTGATTTTACTTGATTAATATGATATATTTTCAAGAAAAAGTACTTAGATCTTAATTTTTGATCACTACAACTTCCAGGACCTTGATTTAACTCAACGAAATTTCAATGCAGACAGTCGCTTAGATTGGCAACCAATACAGAAGGTTACAACACTTTTGCTATAACAGTAGTAACGTGTCAACAAATGCTAAAATTTTTTGTCACTATTCAGCATCATAATATTCGGCAACAGAGTAATGAATGGTATTGCCAACGTCAGAAAGCACATCTGTTCCATTCTTTCGAGTTCATTATATACTTGTCCGTAAATACTAGATTTCAGTCTTGCCAACGCTTCTCTCCCAACGATTTTGAAGCAAGAAATCATCGCGAACTATTAGCAACATGTGACCACAACACTGCCAATCATAATCACAACCGTGCTAACTTAAATCATAGCAATGCTGGAATAGCAGAAAATGATGACCGTTCCTACTATTTTATGCAGTCAGGCGATAATTTCTGATGACTGCATACATAACAAATCATAAATGAAAAAAAATCGTCACTGATATTTAATCTCCTTGATATATACCTGAGATATCCTCGATTCATTCGCTAATTGTAACTCTGCAAATTTACTACTGCTAACAAATTCTTTGCGAGCTTAAATACTGCTATGAAATACAAGAATTAAAGCATTGATTCATTAGTAATTTACTCTGATTTTGATAATAATGCAGTAAACATTTAAATACAAATCCATTTTCATGAAGTATCCAATGCGCATAAACAAATAAACATGCAAAAAAAAACATTTCATATGCCACTTCCACAAAGTTCCATTTAACGTTGAACGAAACAACAATCAAAGAAATTGCTCAAGCTGACAATACCACAGAAAATGAGGATAAAGAAGGCTGCAATAGTGTTGATACGGTATGTACTGCTTGTTCTGTTGCAGGACGTTCGATAATGCTGGTAAAATAATCCTAAACAAACGGATTGTTATGACTTTCACTGGATTTCATTACGATTCAGTAAAAGACCGCTTTTTCTTAAGCTATAAATTTCACCATCACCGTCTTTTTTCCCATATTTAAGAAGGAATTCCCACTCTGTTATAATGTGACCACAGAATTCGATCTCTTAAATCAGCAGCTCTGACAAATGTGACCCCATCAATGTCGATTATTCGATCGCCGACAGTGAAATATCTTCCAGATAATGGACCATGATCGTAGATGTAGATACTAGAATTGCTTTGTTTGAATGCCAGATGAAGGTGTTGCCGTGCCATTCCTCGATCATTTTTCTTCCAGTCCACAATAACGAACTAAGGAAAGAATTATTAACTGAGGGAGCAATCACTTCCTTAAAAACTGCGAAAATTTGGAATTTCAAAAGACTTCTGCAATTCCTAAAACTGAAGAAAGTTGTGTTGAATCATTAAACTTCCAGACTTCTTTTCTAATCGAAATCGCAATGAAATGATAGTTAAACTTAAAACGAACAAAATAATTAAAACCATCTTTCCTGTCGAAGGCAGTAACTCGTTCTTCTTCGATACGAACAGGCAAACTATAAACATCTAGTGGTGCACAGCTCTAAATGAAACAAAATAAAAATTAGTTTTATAATTAAAATTAAAAATTCCGTCGAAAACAACACCAGATGAAAAACAAATGTGTTGCAATGCGATTTAATTTATTCTCAATGAAGTTACAAATCAGTACAGCATAGGACGAAGGTGAAAGATCTTCTAGATCCCACCTTAAGTTGATTTTCCAGTCTATCAATTATTTGCTGTTGTTTGGTAATTGTGTCTTTCAGTGTCTCATCAAAAACCTGAAATTTGAATAATGGCCCAAACAGACAAGTCGATTAATAAGTTTTGAGTGAAAATCTAAGATCATTGGATGATCAACACGCAAGGTAGCTCTTCACTGGTGGTGCATCAACTGTCTATTTGACCAAAGAGACTTAAGTTGCTCCTCAAACACGTGAGCAATTTAAACTATCTAATATCGATGGATAGCACATCCTGTGGTATCTTAATGTAACTATATTACCATATTGGTACCTTTGGACGTTTAAGAATTAACTGCAATTGAAAACTAATTATTCCAAGTATTATGATGAATAGCACTTTCCACGACATGCGTGAACAGTCATCTTTGTTTTGGGCTTCATTACGACCCTGAAGTTTGGTTTCAAAGTTACTAAAATATATAAAAAATAACTGACAAGAATTAATCAGAGAAAAAAAATCGAACATTATTTGTCCTAAAGTCCCTCAAAAATCTAAGTTCCTATCTTTTAAAGTTTCTTATTTAGAGAACAGAACAATTCCTTCGTATAAACGAATAAAATGCCTCTCTATTACTAATTTTTGAAGCGCACGCTAATATTGCTGACTCCATTATTCGTTCTCGTAGCGAATCGCGAAATAAAACTGTAAGAGTTTAATTTCAAAATTTCGAATTTTAAAAATATTGTTAGCATTCTTTATTTTTAATAAGAGCAGAGCTATTTATTTCATTGAAAGAAGACATTATTTAACTGTTAAGAACTAATCCGCCAGACTTCTGGTAATTTCATTTTAGAAATTCTCCTATAAAAATACTCTTCGATGAGGCATTTCAACATTTGTTTATGTGCATTCAAGACAAAAATAACAAACTATTGAACTTGGTACACGTCGTTTCACAATATGTTTTTTAAATAAATCAATAAACGAATCATTCAATTCCCCATCATCACTAGCTGAATGCTTGGATATTCGCGCTTGACTGCCAATAACCTAAATGTCAATTCAAATCATTTTTTGAATTCATTAATTTTCCTTATTAGTTAAACTTTTCTGTCATGCCACTTATTTGTTAATAGCATAAAATGCAAGTAATGTTTGAACAAGCAACAATATGAACGATATAGACAATTTCAGTATGAGGAAAGAAATGAAGGGATTACAGGATTGCACAGATTGGATAGATCTTGAGAGTGAGAGAATTTTAAATAACACTAGAACTGAGTTTCACGGCTGTTTTTCTAAGTTCGTGAAGGACTTTTAAGAAATTTAATGCTAATATACTTCGAAATCTTCGTTACTTGTAATACTCTTTTCGCTGTCGTCTTCCTTCTCGAGTCTATTCTTCATGTAGCCATCTTCAGTTCCTGCAGTTGTTACTTCTAAATGAAAAGATAGTTAATTTCATCAAACACTAATACATTTCAGTGAATTTACTGCAATAAATATTTGGAATTATCACTTGGATATTATTAGGCTTCCAACTTTTAATTATCAATTGTTGAGAAAAATATATGGCGAATAATTGCAGTATTTTTCCGCATTTTGTTTATTACAGCTGAAGTTTAACAGAGACATGTCCAAAAACGCAAACAAATATTTACTTTCACTTACAGCATTTGTCACACTACCAAATTTCATGCTGCCGTTCTACGGAAAAGTGAATAATCGTCACGCACTCACTGGCAGGTATGTCCAACATCAATGGCGTGCCAATCGATGATGTTGTGTATGCGTGTATGTGTATGTGTGTGTGGTGTGTGTGTGTGTGTGTGTGTGTGTGTGTGTGTGTGTGTGTGTGTGTGTGTGTGTGTGTGTGTGTGTGTGTGTGTGTGTGTGTGTGTGTGTGTGTGTGTGTATGTGTGTGTGTGTGTGTGTGTGTGTGTGTGTGTGTGTGTGTGTGTGTGTGTGTGTGTGTGTGTGTGTGTGTGTGTGTGTGTGTGTGTGTGTGTGTGTGTGTGTGTGTGTGTGTGTTCTTCAGTTACCTTATTGATTCTCGCATCAAAAATAAAATAACATTAGAACGAGTCGGCAGATACATTGCAATAGGATGAAGGCTTTCATTAAATACCACGATTTTAAATTTTTAAAGAAAATAAAGGACAATAATAATTGAAGTCAAAAATACAACTGTAATAATTCAATTAAAAATGCATTAAAATATATCACAAAAGAGATAATACAAGTGGTATAAATTGCAAGAGAAAAATTTTACTATCAATTTCAATAAATTTGATATATTTTTTTTACTACCAATTTGATATTTTTTAAATATTCACATTTTCATAATAAAATTTACTGAGAGTTACAAATTTTGCAACAGAAAAAAAAAACAAAATAAATGAACAATGGATAACAACGAAGGTATCAGTAAAGCTTGCACGAAAATAATAAAAAGCCAAGTGTAAACAATAAAGAAATAATAATGGAAATCAAAAAGTATCAAAAAACCTAATTAATTAATATTCAGATATTCTTAATGAAAAGATAAGCATAAAAATAATTTTTCATTATAAAGCAAATTTATATGTCTCAATCACGACATAGGTTATTAAACATCATTATAATGAGCGACATTGTCGTAAGTTCTATCATTTATGAGTGATGACCGGTTACTTTCGATTATCGTATCGGAATTAGCAAAAATTTGATCATGAGCACAATTAATTAATGATTCACTTTTCAAAGTAGACCTGTTACTGCTATTATTGCTTTTATTCTCGCACATCGTATTGGGATTTAAATGGCCATTTCCACTGAAAAGAAGTATTTTGATTAAAATATTCATTAAGTTCACTTTGAAAAGAATTCACAGAGATATACATGTGATAATAATGGATATATGTCTCTCTAAATTCTTTACAGACAGATAAATGTTATTTACAAACGTTACTCCTGTTGGAAAGATAAAAATAAAAACACACTTAATTTCCATCATCTTCCAATTCGTTGACTGGACGAAAGGTAATACTGATGCTTTCTGCTTAGCCAGTTTCCCTGATTTCCTGTATAGATACAAAATACACTGTACAGCACACATAATTATCAGACAGGATGTAACGACACAGATAAGCATCACCAAACTGTACTGCTTGATCGGAAAAAATTCAAAGTCATGTTCATAAGGCTGAAAATACTTGAAATGAGACTTAAATTGAGAAATAGGAAATCTATCTGAAAGAGAACTGATTTGTATAATCAATATCTACCTTAATACTATCACCAATTGTAGCCGTTTCAATTCTGGTGCACCACGGAGAACGTTCGATGTGTTTTTGAACCGTTAAAGTAGCATTAAAGCATCGACCCCGCAGTTCAACTATCATCTGACCGAGGTTACTACCATTTCCTGTACTCGAATTCCCAAAATTCCCAAAATGTTCTTCCTGAATTCGAAATCAAAACTGGGATTGGAATATTTATTGAGCCGTTTGTTGAATTCAACACACCTGTATCAAAATAGAAAAGAAAGAAGCCAAGAAGTACCTGTAATTCATACTTAAAAGCCTTCGTTACGACAGTTTGATCACAACTACGTTGAAACCGATATTTCGGATCAATACCAATAATTTCGATATTCATTTCAATATCCACAGGGGATCCTGCCGTCCAATGGCTAATGAAAATGCTATTCGACAACTAGATAATTTTTTTTTTAGAAACATCGCTGCGAAGAGTAACTCAGCCATTCAGGAACAATGATACTTTTTCAAACAAAACAGTGTATCGTTCTAACGATAAAAGTTTTTCTTATTTAATTACTATCCTTTCAAGAAAAAATTTTTCTGTTCGAAATTTTAATCTAATACTACCTGTTCGAAATTTTGATCCAACTGCCAACTGAATGAGCTTTTCTCTCCATTCAGCGGATTTGTCTCAATCATTTTTAGTTCCGGTTTATTGCAATAAGTGATTATGAGGCAAGATGGCTTCCACTCAACATTTAACAAATTAACGGAAATCCAGAACTCTTCCAGATCCTGTTGTTGCCTAGTAGAAGTGCTTGTTACCACTCGACCAGCACGAATCATCACTGACCAAATGATAAATAACAGCGATGCTTTATCCAGAATCATCTCTGAAAAAAATTCTGCTTTTTTTTAATTTTTGCCAAAATGCAATTTGAATAGTTCTTTTTCTTTTTTTTTTTTTTTTTTCATTAGCTTTTTTTAGTAGTTTAATTTATTCAAGTATCATAATAAATATAAGAAATATGAATAAACCTGAGCCAAACAACATTTGCTCTTCACAGAAACCGTTTCAAAACCCAATGATTCTTCAAATAGGGAAGCACGAGTAGCGAGTGAGTAAAAAAGCTCAAATAAACTTTCCGTTGAGTCAGAAGGATTTTTATAGGAGATTTTTATCTTACGACCCCAGATTATCGTTTGCAAAATAAATAGCCTTGAATTTAATGTCAACATGCGCGTGACCATTTATGTCAAAGGGCAATGAAGAAGTTCAAAGGTGAGATACTATGGCAGCTCCAATTATCTTCATTCACATCGACAACAAAATCATTCCTGCCTGTGGGAACGACATTCATTTAATCCTGAACTTGGAAATTCTCAAACATCTGCAACGCTAACAAGTTAATATCTATTCATACTTATTACTGTTTCTCACGAAAACCTGTGAGAAATTTAATAAAACGTATTTCGTGGTGAATTCATACTGGTCGTTCCCACAATAAGTCTTGAAACTTTCATCCTTCGTGGTAATTGCATTACTTTTCCCAAGCTTCCTTGCTATTATGATGTCACTGAAATAGTAGTTTATTATCTGTGGACAGATGAAGTGAAGTTGCACAGTAGGGACCTGTATCCTTCATATAAGACCGTGAACTGTCAGTTACATTCACCGCTATCGTGAATTCAATCAGCTGAGCGAAAATGTCCATCTCTACATACCTACTTATTCACAAATATGAATTTTTTTTGCGTAACTTAATTGATTATTGATTCACTTAAATCGCTTGTTGCCGATATTTCAAAATAAAAATATAAGTCATCCAGCAAATCCCCTTTCATTTCACGAAGATTTTTGGAATAGGAAAATGAGCAATTAAGCAAGACTTACACTTCCAGAGTGTCATACAGTAAGCTTTTGTTACTTATGTGTTACTGGTATCTGACCTGAATAGCAAACTTTATTCAATTCTCAATGATTACATATTGTACATAAGCAATGATAAGCATCTATACAAGTGAAACCGAAATAAACTAGGACACTGAGATGTATATATACAAAATAATGAAGAACTCATCATTTTTCTAATAAAAATAAGATATGTATAGAAATTTCTGGAGGGCCAGATGTTGAGAAATATTCCTCCTTATTCTTTTCCTTCTATAATTATAGCTACTCCACTTTTTCCATAAGAAATGTGGTATTGGTTTGACCATAATCGAATGTTGGATCCTCCATAATGTGTAGATAATTGTGATTAAGAAAACGGGCCATCTATAAAATATGTACAGATTAATTTTATAGAAGTCGGTAGCAAAATCCCCTGCAAATAAAAAAACTGCAGCAAAACCGCTTGCAATACTGACATAAATAAATATGTTGTCTTGTTCTATCCTTTCTGTCATACCTATCACTTTCATCTCGAGATCGACAGAGTAATCACTTTCTTCGCCGTAGAAACAAATTCGCAACATATTATATACAACAGTTGTCAATAGACATGCACTGTTCCGGAAAAACTTAGTTATCTGCATGAAGTGATTTTTATAACCTGCATGAGTTGCAAAGATATGTTTCCGAAATGGCACGAGAAAAGAAGCATATTGCGTGGTTCAACACGACATGCAAATCGCATAAAAACTGCTGAGTAGATGCACAGAGCAGCGGTCATTGGACCTAGAATTGATATTCTCATTATTATCAAGAATGAAAATTTCTACTTTTTCAACTCACAAAAATATACAAAATTTCTCCAATATTTGCAGAATAACGTACCTGAGATCAAATCGGGATTCTTCTTTAAATCTGCCAATGCGGCAATTGGGATGCCCCAGTTAGCAACAGGACCCCAAAAATGCGTGGAACAGAAATAATTGATCCATTCTTTTGTAGAATGGCGAGATAAACCCTTCATAATTGCATTCATTTTTTTTCTGAAACTAATAATATTTCAGGATAAAGATGAAGCCACTCTACAAGCAGCGAAATAACGCCGTCAGAGTCACGACTAAAACGAATTTGACAATACGATACACTTACATAATACCACAAGCATACAAATCACATGATCTTGAAAAATTGGTATTGCATAGCGACATTTAACGGAAAAAATAGTCGGCCATGAATTTCTAGGTGTTAACAAAAAGTTACGGAGTGGCATCAGTGTTGTTAATGAATTCATTTAGTACGATTTAAATCGACTTTCGTTTTATTTTTAGTTGTTGAAAAGATAGATATGCACAACAACAGCGAAGAAGAAATAGTACCACAACAACAACAACAACGAAAGAGTTTCTGTAAGTCGTTTCCCTTTGAAAGTGTTTTGTGAGTTATTCCTCTGCAATTTGTAAAACGAAAATTCTCTTCTTATCTTATATTGTACGATGACCAGAACGAAAATAAAGCAGATTTCGTTCTATCACGCTGCTCTGCAGCTTTTTTTCCTTCATGGTATCTCGTCGAACACGTTACATGAGAATTTCTTATGAGGAACAGTGTATCCACAATATATTGTCTGGAACTTTGGCCACGTAAACTATGAAGAGTTCCATGGATATATCGGAAGATCGCTGTTATGTCCTATTATTCACTGTGTATGTGAAAGATGGATTAATTCTGCTAATTGTATTCTGCACTTGCCTGCTTTTGTAACAAATGATAATTGTTATAAGATTGAAATAGACCTTGTTTTAGGTACTCGTTGTCCTGCGACTCCCGCGAAGAGCAATCGTTTCGACAGTCCTTTCAGAAGTCCCTATGCTCCTGCAACATTTCCATATTATGCGTCCCATTCGTCTTTCCGCTATAGATCACCTTATCAACAAAAACGACCTTACATCAATTTATCCGCTCCGTCTTATTCAGTAAGCAGTCTCACCAACGCCCAACATTGTCCAAATTGGCATGGTCCATCGAGAGCATTCTCGCCATATATCTATAAAAATCCACAAAACATGGTAGATGCTTCATGTTTGGTAGGATGAAAAGAATTATGAGCGATGAAAATGATAGGATGAGCATATGTTGCTGGTAAAACAAAAACTTTTTATTCTAATGAAGTTTACCTTATGACCAAGACATATTTCCTTATTGTTTAGTATGTATCATCGAAAGCTTACATTAGCCTTGGAAAAGAATATAGTAATTAATTCAGATACAAGAATGTGGTGATTCTTTCACAACTACTCCCAACTACAGGCGTCACAATAATAACTCAAGAACGGCATGTCTTGCTGAACAGTTTGATGTCAATGATTATGTGATACCAGCTATGACATCTAATCCGTGGGCGAAGTTAGAAGAATTTTATGCTAATCGTCGATTTGATGAAAAATGACGATGTAACCGTATCTTATCTGTATTAAACATTGCAAGCTTAATGAAAAGCATATTTGATTTCTTAAACCTTCGATGTCCAAGCTAGCAAAAAAGGCGTGGAAAAACGATTTCAAGATTAGAGGATTGGAAAGACTGTATCCTTCCAGAATCAGTAATGAGGTGTTAAGGAAGGATGAGAAAGCGGAAAGCTAGATGTGTTCTTGTAGGACACAGAGGATAAAGAAATGGATAGCGCGAGTTTAGTTTTGGGCAACCTTATGACAAGCAGGAATGAAATTCATTTCATTTGCAATTTTTAGTGCTATATAGTAATTCAAAATATTGCGTCCCACTATATATATATATATAAAAGGATGTCCTACCCGTTTTTAAATTGTAAGTTCGAAAATCTTACAAACAGCAAGTAGGAAGAATCCAGGTAACTGATGGAAGCCGTTCTATTGGCTTCTTTGTTAATTGTTCTAACAGCATTTGAACTCTTATGAATGATCTAAAAAGAGGATACGAGAACTGATGGTTCTGCATTTGCTGCAATATAAACTTCTTGAATTTCACCTGCGACGTTTCCCTCACTCAAGCTACTCTAGAAAGGTGAAACTTCGGATAATGGTGGAGCCTATAGCTCAGGGAAGAGTATAATTAAGGTCAGACGATTTCAGAACAGCAAGTTGGTGACTGAAGCGAAGTCAACATGTCTCGATTCCCGAAATTTTAAAAACATACTTGACAACTAACCAGGATGACTTTGGCAGACCGACATCGCAACATATGGATATCTCTGATCACATGATGGACATACTGTTGTTGATAAGTGGTGTCGTCAAGTTGTTTCTTAATGAACGCTACGCCTTTTTCATGTTATTACTTACTTACATGTAAAGATACCAATATTAACGACTTGAGAGGAAAAAGCACTCGTAAATGAATCAAAAGCAAATTTACAATAGAACTGAGTGATGATTAATTCCTGGAACCACCAATAAAAATCAAAACCCGGTTCAGTTTGCACAGAATGATGTGTTTTCATTTCGGATATCTGGATTTGATTTCGTAAATACCAAATGGCTTCAGTTATATGCTCCACATTAGAGATTAAGGCCGATTTTTGTGAATATCAAACATCCTATGCAAATGACCTGCCGAGAATGGAACGTCTCAAAAAGGGCCATACCTTTCTTGCGATCGTCCATTATTCAATTGCGAATCATTTCATACAAACATTACAACAAAAAGGTAACAGCGACACAAAGTAATAATGCAACTGACTATTTAATTACCTCTCCCGGGAATGCCAGTAATCCTTCTTCCTCAAAATAGCAGTTGCAATAGCCGATTGTTTTCATACATAAGCATCGACGTGTGATACACAAGCAGCAATTCAAAAATTTCCTTCTGCATACTGACCGCACTTTTAAAAGAGGAAACATCGTTAGCATTTCCTCCTCCCTATACCACCATCAACTCAACAGTTCTGAATGATTGGCAGGTGAATGCACCTGTTTGGAATTATCAGATTTTAATGATACTAAAATCTGATTGCAATCCACATCACCACCATTTATAAATTGTTCTGGCATCCCCACGTTCAATGCGTTAACTGGGTCCGTTGATTTTTTCGAAAATTCCTTCTCTCTTTCTGGAAGTATTCTTGATTCTATAGCGGACGGCAGATCTCCTAAAACATATTTCTTCAATGATTAGAAATAAACATCAAAAAATTGCACTATGATGCACCTTTTCTACCTTGAAGCGATGGGGTGCACACCAAACAATCTCATTTTGCCACGTCAGTTCAGAACAACTGATAACACAAGGTAACACAAAATAATAGTGGTCATTTAAATGGCGCTTAATTCTTTCACAAGAAAATAAACTAAAGTAATCTGAAGTTTGTCCTCATACTATAAAAAAGCTACACTCTAAAATTTCATTTTAAAATTTCTGACTTGAAAAAAAAAAAAAAAAAAAGGAATTATTAACATAAAATAATGCACTGTTATTTCTTCAGTATTATACTTCAGTTAATATACCATCTGATAATACCAGCCGTGAAGTATGAAAATACTGAAATCAAAATAAAGTGTAACCTCAACATTCCAAAACGCAACATCAACGTAATATTACAGAGTAATAATATAACAAATTTTTTCAAAATGAAAGCTCCCTCCAATCTCAACCGAATGAAAGATCGAATCCAATATTTACAAAATAAATCATTAAACAAGTAACGAAATAACGAAGTAGCAAAATTAAAGACCATCCACCAAGCTATAAAGAAACTGCACAAGCATTCCCAAAATCTAATAACACATCAGTAACAGTGCTGTTTTTCCTTCTCACAAACTATGTATAAATTAATGATTGAATTGAACATCAGGTAGCGTGAAATAAATCATGGCTTCATCATATTAATTATTGAAACTCATCGTAACGACAAACAACACAATGCAGTGGTAATTATTATAACTCAGAGAGTTCCAGTTCCTCAGCTTGGTCAGTAAAACTCCCAGAATGTTGAACCGTGAGTACACTACAGACAAGTACACTGGAACCCGAAAGATGTAAAATAGAAAATAAAAACTATGAAGTTTCGGATGTACAAAATTTAGTGATACAAGAAAAATTGAGAGATTTGAAAAGATTAGAAACAAAAATCTCGCCTAAATCTGCTAGTTCGTAACATATTAAGCTCCTGAACACCTGCGAATATCACTGTTAAGCAATCATTAGCATCATCATACAAAACAACATCAAAACAAAGATTTCACACCAAGCAATCCTTTATTGATAAATTACCAAACAAAAGAACAGCATCAAACATTGAATTCACCATATTAGGATGGTCATTTCAATTGTTTAGGAATTATTAAGAAAATTTTAAGCTGGTTATCCGTATAAAAATTGTAGTATCATAAAATCAGAAATAAAGTGCAATATAATAAAAAAAAAAAAAGATCTAATTCCTAACCTCAATTTCTATTTCGAACGTAAGTAACGAGAATGGATTATATGCTTTAGAATTAAAAAATATGTCTAAACAATAAAAATATTTTATACCGGAAAATTTACAAATGTCAATTTTGAAAGTATTCGCGCTTATTTAGCGACACTTGCCATAAAGCTAATGACGAAGTCTATTGGAATGTTGATACATTTGAAGTAGAATTACTTGTAATGGTAACTGATACACTACCTTTCGGTTCCATTGATGCAAGCTGTCCTAATATTTCACTGAGTTGGTTCTGTATTCGTGGATGTGCATGCGATGTACTTGTGGTAAATGTTGAAAGCGCCGACATCACCGCTGGTGGCAAAACACCACTTTTACTAACAAGCTGCAAAACAGATGCTGCTGCCGTTGGGCTTAAGTTCGCCAACAGTGCACGTGCTGCTTCCAAGTTGCTTGGATCTGCCTGAATTGCTCGAATTGCTGCATCCACATCTGCAAAATAACTAAGTACATTAAGTGCATTACTCTTTTTTTTTTTTCTACAACAGATCAAAACCTGTACTATAATGAATCATTTATGGCAACTCTATTTCGCTTTACATTTTTTAAAAACGCTTTACATTTTTTTTCTTTTAGTTATATTTCTTGGAAAATGAATTATAACTGTGCAAATTTTAGCACATAACTTACTTTTTAATGAAGCTTCTGAAGATGCATTACCCTCAACAGATGAATGTGTAATGTTCATTCGCCTTGTCGGAAAAAGTGGTAGCCCAGTTCTCAAATTTGTGTTCGAATCAGACTGTAATGAAAATCTGATATTTGTTTTATGTTAATTAATTAATTAATAACAATTTAAACTGGCAAGTGTGTCCCATGTAACGTTCAAATAGAAAAGGAAGCGATAAAATACAATAAACCTGATGCGAACTAGAAGGAAGAACAGGATGGTGCTGTACAAACTGAGTATGTGACTGTGACGTCTGTGTCATTACCAAACTACCTAGAATATATTGCAGATTTCAAAATGAGAGATGAAAATAAGGTACATAGTATTATTTAATATATTTGATATGAGCAAACTTAGACAATGAAGAAATCCACCGCTGAAGTCAACATAAAAACTATCGAGTATAATACAGTCAATCTAACTATGGCGAGATTGAAAGGTAAGTGGATTTAAGTTACCCTTCTGATAAAGCAAAAATCAAGTTACCCTTCTGATCTCTATCTATTTCTTTAATTTTCTCTGGTTTGCACGCAATAATTTAAGATACTTACTACCAGCCGACCGGTTCTTCCTTTGTTTTTTCGACCACAGCTCATGGCAATCTTGCCAATCTGGAAGCTTTGGCGGTGGTATTATTGAAGGATCAACATCTTTGAGCCAAGGATGTGTAAGAGAAGCTTTTGAAGTAATACGCTTCCTTGGATCCAGTTCAAGCATTCGGTCAAGTAAATCCAAAGGTTTATCAGGTATGCTGTAATCAAATCAAGAAATGATTGATGACCCAAGCAATTATTTGCAGAATAATTCCAATCTGTGAAAACTTACAATGCAAATGCTTCACGCAAAATTCGAGGAAAAGTGCGCTTTGGCCGAAAGCTGCAATACAGCGGTAATTTGATAACATCAGGCCAATTTTCAGGTGATGGTGTACCGCAGAGTTTCGATATTATATCCAATTGCACCATCTCAGTGTTCCCTTGAAACATTGGCTTTTTCGTGTACAATTCTCCAAGAATACACCTGCAATTTATATACTACATTCTGGTAATGTTTCGTGCTATAGCCTTATCAATACCCTCAACCAGACAAACGAACAAAACACAACAAACCCAACACTCCACACATCGACAGCAGTTGTATATCGTTCTTCACCAAGTAAAAGTTCTGGTGGACGATACCAAAGCGTTATCACGCGATTGGTGTAAGGACGATCTTGATCTTCATCGTAAAATCTGGCTAAACCAAAATCAGCTAATTTCAGCTCTCCTCTAAAATAGAATAATAACAATACCATGTATTAATATAAAATAATATTTTGTATTAACATCTATTAAGGAGCAATGAATGCAGCAAGGAATTTACAGCAAACTGAATCATACTTGTTATTCAAAAGGATGTTTGAGCATTTAATGTCACGGTGGAGAAATCCAATAGAATGGCAATACTCCAGTCCAGAAACGAGCTGTTTCATAAGCGATGAGATTTGATCATCAGAAAACTCAACAAACTGGCTTTCCAATATTCCCATAAGATCGTGGTCCAGGTATTCAAACACCAAATAAAATGCGCCTTAAGTTAACGGCATAAGAGGTAAAAATTCAGTATTAAAAACAACACAACTTTGGAGTTTTATGAAGAATAATAAAAAGAAAAAAAAAAACATGATTATGTAAAAGAATATACCTTTATCTTTTCTAAAATCGGCAGCAGTTTGCTTGTCCGTAACAATATCAATTAGTTTTACGACATTCCGATGATTCAGCTGTCTGAGAATCTTAATTTCACGAACAGCTGTAATTGGAAAACCTTCTTTTTCATTTTCCAAACGCACCTTTTTCAAAGCAACCACTTCTTCTGAAAAACATTTTTTACATTTTTTTATGCAGAATAATTAACTTCATCCTTTGCCTTCTTAAATATTGTTACGTGCTTCTAACCATTCATTAATAGTAAAAACAGAAACTTCTTAATGCCCTGATAAGCAAAGTAAAGTATATATAGACGTAAAACAAGGTCTGGTACTACATACAAAATGCACAAGTTCTTGTCTCAGAAATGAATAATCATAAAAACCTTTCAGATACCAATTAATTAATTACATGAGAAACTTACGGGTAATCTTGTCATGTGCTTTGTACACTTGTCCATATGTGCCTTCACCTACTTGAGTTTTGATTTCATATTTTTCCATCGTTGAACAACCCCAGTTCTCTGGATCCTCCCGCAATTTCAGACGTTTGTTTAACACCCTATAAGTTTATAACATCTTCATTATATGCTGCTAAAATAATGTAGCAGCGACAAGTCTAAAAAATAACTGTAGTTGGAAACACAGACTCTCGAATGTGAATCCAAAATAAAATAACGAAAATAAATTTGGATACTACAAATAACATAATGAATGACTCTCTTAACCACAGAAATTATCAAACCATACACAAGTAACATTCGAATATAAATCAAATGAATTTACAGAGGACGTATAAACGTTCGTTTGGACTGGGGAGGCATTGGTGGAGGAGCTGGTGGTGGTGCAACGGAAGGTACACATGCGTCGCGTTGTGTAGGATGAGCTGCAACTGCCGACGATACAAGATTTGGATTAGGTATTGCAGGAGGTGCAGGTGGAGGAGGCTGTGATGTGTTTACAGGCAAACAAGATGGTATTGGCAGAGATGAAGGCATTGGTGGTAGAGGGGGAGGCGGTAAGATCGGATTCGGTGCAATTGGAGGAGGCGGTATAGGTGGAGGTTGCGAATATGGAGGTGGTGGAATAGTGAAAGCTGCCATCTGAAAAAATATATATGTCCACATTTCAATAAATAGCAAATAAAACGGAGAAAGACCTGTAAATTAAACGAAACTGAATTTCGCAAGCTTTCCTAAATAAGTGCTACCATCAAAGGAAATAATGTAAACTTGAAATCCTTATAAAGAAATAATAATCTTTATAAAAAGATAAAGAGAATATTGATACAGCTTACCTGACCAGCATATCCATATTGCGCAGTGTAAGCTGCCACTGCCACTTGATAAGCATTTGGATCCATACCAATTGGAGCTGGTGGAGGTGGTATAAAAGTTGGCACAGCTGGTATAAAAGAGGCCGCTGGCGGCGGAACACTCGCTGGAATCACCCGAACTGGTGGTGGTGGGGGCGGCGGCACCACTAATTTTGACACCTTTAATAAGTTAAACAGCAACAAATGTTTTTATATCTGCAATTAAATGATTTAAAGGCCTCAAACAGTCAAAATCATAAAAAGTTTGTGTTTGATTATTGCATGCTATATATATATATATATATATATATATATATATATGACTCAATTATTTTTTATCAACACAACTTAAAATTTACAGAGGATGGAGGGCTTTGACCCGAAGATGATGTCGATGAATCAGACGATGGTGCACGCTTTCGTGATGGACGTTTCTTTGCTGTTGGATTACGTCTGTGTCGTTTTTCCTTCCATTCCCTTGCAGTCCTATCGATTCTTTTATCATGATGTCTTGTCATGATTTCGCCGAGAAGTGATGACTTCATACGCATCCTAAAATTCAGTGCAAATATATGACCTTACTTAGATAATAAACATTTTGTTAATATGATAAGTGACCAACTTACTCGTTCATGCTTGATGATGTGGTATCAGAAGAACTGGAACTGGATACGCTTGAACGACTCCTACTTCGTTTACGACGTCCTTCTCGCCTATCAGAACGTCTCGACGATCTCTGCGGAGTACGGCGACGTCTATGAATCAAACAAATCATTAATAACAGTGTACTTCTATCCAGAAAAAAAAACCAATTTCCAGAGATTTAGCAAAAAAAAGAACTTCAATAATTTCTTTGTTGCTACTCAAGATTGCACGAAACTCACAGATTGAACTAAAACCAAACTACCTGCTCTGATTACTGCGTCTGTTTGTTTGTATCAAATCTCGACGTGTGTCATTTTTTCTATGATCCGAACGACGTTCATGCTCTCTACTTTTACCATTTGTTGACGGTGAAGGAGAGCGTCTTCTTTTACGACTGCGAGAAACAGATCTCGACCTTGATCTCCTGAAGATATAGTAACTATCGCGTCTATTCCTATGAAAATTTTAAAGGAATCAAATTAAAGTAACTTTCATCACTACTGCTTTGATCCTTTTTCTTTTTTGAACTCAAGTAATTCATTATTCCTTTTTATATGACAATGAAACAATAACTCCTATCTGCAAGAGTTCATAAAAATGTAAAGTCCGTCTAAAATCACGATAACTTGACTTGCTTAACTTAAAACAAGAAGTGAACACTGATTTGACTGTTGAGAACGTTTCATTTACTCATCGTCGAAAGAAAATTTCGAATTATAATGTGTAAACTGACCGACTATGCTGAAATGATGGTGACACCGATTTTCGACGCCTTTTTGATGACACTTCCTTGTCCTTCGAATGCTTTTCCTTCTTTTTTGTAGAATGCATTAACTGCCGGCTATTAAGACAGCTTCCTGTTGTTGGACTACCACCACTTACTTCACTTCGCTCTTCACTTTTATTACTACACGAAGGCGATGAGCAGTGGGTTTCTGAAAACTTTTATTAATTCAAAGCTTCAAATAATTCGAGCTTCACATGAAATTGCTGATATTTCTAAACTCCATTAATATCACCAGAAGTTGAGACATTCAAAAAACTAACCTTTGTTGCTTTGTTCAGTCCCGATAAGCTTATTCTTGCTTTCGGCCAAACGATCTGCTTCTCTGTATACCATTATATAACATTACGCTCTTTTTAATAATTTCTGAAAAGCGATCAATTTAAAAATCTACTTTAAAACGAAAATTGCTGAATTGTTATACTCAAGCGTTTAATCAAATGAACAGAAGCTATAAGCAGTACATTTTTATCTGATCGAACTAGTGCACTATATTTGATTTTCGATTTCCATATATCACAAAATAAATTTCACATTAAGCAATCAGCAGCAAAAAGGTTGCAAAAGTTATAAGTACAAGAAACATGGAGAGTCAAATAGAGGAGAGATGAATAATTAGGATAAATTGTCTGTGTTAAGATCGGTATAGTTACTTCATTTGGCTAAATAAGTGAATATAGAAGAATATTTTACAGATTGCTCCGAGAAGATATTTATGCACTTCAATCACTTCAACCATTTTTTAAGTAGATACTTAAATTCTTACAGAATAAGTCAAGTTTTATTTGTGTCACTAACTTAATCTACAGTCACTGAAAATAGAAGAATTCCCTAAAAAATATTATACCATAGCGTGATATAAGACAAATACACTGAACTTTCAACAAACAAAGTTACAGCCTTCTATAACTGGAAGTACTACGTAATATGAGTTCTACATATCATAAAATAGTGTATAACCACAACTGGAACCAAAGATTTACTCCAGGTAAATAACAGGACCAAAGATTTACTCCAGGTAAATAACACCGGTAGACTTAGGTAAGGAGCAAATTAGTGCGCTGCCTCAGTTAAAATGATTGTTCCTTGTAGAAAAAACAAAAGGTAGAAATTGATCTTTTGCACCTGCAATACTTTTAACCAAAACTGCAATGGAAACAAACATATAATAAGCCGAACTTTTCCTTTTTAAAAGTCATATGAAGTATCAAATATCAAACATTTTCCAGAAAATATAACAGTATCGGTTATGACCTAATTCCCATATCACCAAATGTAATGCGTTAGGAAAACTCTACGTCGAGCAGGAAATTCGTATCAGCGAAACAAGATAGATCGATTGATTCATAAGGCAACCACGACCATCAATGACGCATAAACCTCTCCGAATGCCACTGCTTTCCTCCTGGATCAGATGTACGCTAGTAATGATGTTGTATTTGCAAGGGAAAAGTACGGCAAGCTTTGGACAGACTGATAGCTAGCGAATTATACCGCTACTACTACATTACCACTACGCCACCACCAGCAATGCAAAATCGATGCTGCGCAAACACCAATACAACCACCTCTTTTGGTCAGCCACTAAACACACCAATCTTCGAAATTTCACTCCAGACTTCCTATGTAAAGCGATCATCTCAGACGGTTTATTATACCTATCATTAGACGTTTCATCTAATATACTACCGAAATTTAATTCGGAGCACTGACCCATTTCAGGTGATCTGTATGATAACTTCCTATCTTGCTAAAACTAAAACATATATGTAGTAGTGTTCCAGTCTTACTATCACTGAACTAGTGAAAAAATGAATACAAGCGGTCTGATCACAGGAATACAGCCAAAAACAATGAAGTACCTTATTAAGACTTACATTAATTTTATTTAAGCGCAGCACAAGTATTGAACAATATAATAGTACGTAGCAATAAAAATCTTATTTAAAGCCAGTTATACACAAAATAAGAGAACATTAGAAGAAATCAACTGCGGATGGTCGGATTTTTTTCATAGCATCAGTACTTGACTGTCCGAAACTGAGCAAATTATCAGTTATGGATGAATTAGCACTTGCATGACTGATAACGCCTTCTATATTTCTCCTTGGTGTTTTTCTTAATAGCTGTGAACCTGGAGTACCAGTCGAAGATATGGAATGTGATGTCCTAAAATGATAATCTAAATTAATAACAACTCAGGCACACAGGAATTTCATTTCATATGGAAGTACACTGTACATCCGAAAACCGACAGATTTATTTAGTATCTATGATAGACTGTCATTCACAATCTCAGCTCTCAAAAAGAAACATCGAACGCATTAAACAAATAAATCCAAATGTTGCCAAATCTGAAATACAGTAACTGTCCACTTACTCATATTTTTTACTTTTGGAGAAGTTGAATGAGTTTTCAGAAACAGATCACACTAACACAAACCAACATTACGTTCAATTCATCTAAAAACTCTATTCTACCAAATTATTTGCAGAATATTTAGATATATGTTGAACTAAACGTAAACCAAGATGATTATCATCATGCCTGTAGCTAAAATGAATTGTCTTTACTGAACAGACTAGTACAATCAACTTTTTAAAACTTGACAGCTTACCTCGACCGTGAAGGTGTGCAGTTGAAACTCATTTTTAATTCCCTATCCGAACTCAGTCGAATTCCAAGTCCATGCGCCGCAAGACGTCTTGCAGCAGGAGACATCGTAGTAAGCTTTTCAGAAGTACGAATAGAACCGAAGCTGGGTGTTTTCCTAAAATTATCAGATATCACACTTTCTGAACGAAAACAGCATTGGAGGTCTAGAACAACTGATCGCTGTTTATAATTAAGTTGTTTATTTAGGGTTACTCAAAAACAGTGCACGTTATATATATGTATATATATATATACTTTATAACAACACAAGTAACTATTACAGTAATGCCGACAGTAAAGGATCATGCTGGAATGATAAATGAAATAAACAAAAAACCTACGCGTGATGTTTTTCCACTTGTCGTATAGCAATTTTCCGTTTGTCATGGTAACGTTTCGCAATTGTTTCAGCTATACTTTGAGCTATTTTTTCCCTAACAGGTACTTCGGGAATCTAGAAATGTCATCTCAAGAAGCGCATCGCGATAATAATTAATACATATTATGAAAAAATCCGATAACTTACCTTAAAAGCGGGGGCTGAAGTTGGAGTAGCCATATCTGAAGCATCAAGTCGAAATGGTGTCCCTTCGATTTCACCCCATGTCATAAATGGTGATTCGTCGACACCTCAAATCAGGTGTTTCAGAATAAAATAAATAGCTGAATGCATAGGACTTCATTTGTTCACGTTCTGTATGTATAATACAAAAAAAAAACCTTATTTGCATCTAATTTTCATTATTGTGAGTGAAATAAAGTTGAAACGGAAAATAAAATATAACATTCTGTCCACAGCGAAAACTCAAAAATCGTTCAGTGATATTAAAAGAAAAAAGTATATGAGAACTTCATTATTTTTTCTTCCTTAAGTTGTAATCTTTATCTTTGGAGATCACAGTGCAAGGAAAATAATCCAAATCAAAGGTATATAAGCATTTTTTTAATGTTACAGCATTCGAAACGGAGACCAAAAAAACCACACAAAGATTACCTGGAGTTAGTAATGGGGTAGCAATTAGTTCCACTATACCCGTCTTAGAACCCGCTTCACGCCCTGTTATATCCACCTTCCCTGCATTCATTACCGTCTGTTGAAGCATTCCCTTAACTGCAGTGACCTGTAATCAGTCATTCACTATTTAATTTAGAGATAGTTGGCTAAAAATGGTTCCAACAAGAAAAAAAAACCTGTCTTTTCTCCTTGTTGACTTCTTCTGAAAAACGAGTAGCGATTTTGTTTATGATTCTTTGATTTGCTTTCTGTCTTTGAAGATGTTCCTCCAGTGTTAACGGTGCCTCTTCAGGGTGGAAATGCACAATATTTCGCGCCTTATAAGACCAGTTATCAAGTTCTTTAGGCTTTGCTAAAACGATTCGCAATAAATAATATAGAAATAACACTGAACAATACTCAAAGCTATGTCAACTTAAGTACTAATATCAATTTCTTTTTTTTTTAAAGCGGAAAAAAGGTTAACATGACACTGAAACACATCTCCAAATTTTATTATTCTTTATCAAAATAGATTAAATTTACTACTGTCAAGATGACGCCAAAAACGTTGATTATGGACCCATGCATATAAAAATTAAATACCTGAGGCAGCTCCAGCAGCCAAAGAGATCATGATTTGTTCATCAGCAGCCTTCATTAATTCATTTCCTCGGGTAATCAATTCTTGGTTATGCTTCTTTTCTGCTTCATACATCCACGCGTTACGGATCTGTTCTTTTTTTTTATGTAACAGTGCAAGCTCTTCGAATGATGCATTATCCTCAGAGGTGAACTTATTTAAATAAGTATCAACCGTAAGATTTTCATCTTTCTTTTTCTTCTAAAAATAAATGCTGTTGTAAAAATAATAAGAAAATACTAAACCATGTTGCTAATTTGCAAACACATAATACATTGAATGTTAATTGAAATATTAATGTATAACTTAATATTTCCCAGTAGCTTTTTCAATAAGCTAAAATTTTCACTGTCCATCGATGTAAGACTCAAGATACAATTCGTTTTTCTCGCAGCTGTTGTTGAAAGTGAACGTATTGTGTTTCCGATAAGCAACTCATTACTGAAATCAGACCTTTGCGGGGCTTCCTTTTTCACTTTTCCCAACTCTTGGTTCAGCATAAGAGGCGCTAGGCCCAGGTGTATTGGGATCAAATACAGCCGGGCTAGTAGTTGCAATAATGGGCGAGGTGCGCCGAATAGTACGTTTTGTGCTGTAACGCAGTTGCAACTCACGAATCTTAATTAAATCATTAGCTGCAACTGCATCCAAATATTCCTTCTGAGCCTAAAAGAAAAATGGTACTTTTTATAAATCTGAAAAATCAAACTCCCCAAGTTTTAGTAGCAGTAAACCGTGAGCAGTAAACCCTTCTAATAAATGATCAAAAAAACTACATACTTTCAATTTCGGCAGTTCAGGGAAGTAATCCCTCACAATAATTTCTTGAAGACGTCCAAGGTACTTTTCTTCTGGCAATACAACACGAACTTCTTTCCCTGTCTCCAACTTTTTTGCTCCCAGAACTACTACCTGCAAAATCAGTTATCGAATTCTTTAATTGTTATTGACATTCCTTGCAACTGGAAATTTAATTTATTAAAATAAGCCATATTTTCCAATGAAATACCAATAAAATGCTTGATCATGAGGACTATCAAAAGTTGTCATCCAAGCTACTTTTGAGATAGTGGGAAGAAAAGCATTGAAATGAATAGCCAGCAAGTTCTGCAACATAACTGATAAACTAATGGAACGAAATGTACTTTTGAGCCCTGCAACTTCTCGGCTGACACAGATACTGCTCTGTCAACATCATCAAAAGATGTTGGTGTCCCGAACTCCGGGGTAGCCATTCCTGTGACTACCTATAACAGCAAACCATTCTCAACGGATGATAACTTCTAATAAGCCACAATGAAATTTCTTTATTCTCATGAGAGCTGAGTTCATTGTAGCAGCACCAACTTCGCTTTCGCTGTATGAATTTATCATTTCTAAAAGAAATAATGGAGAAGTGCTACTCAAAAGAATACTGTAATACATTTCGAAAACAACTGCACCATAAACTTGTTTACTTCTTCATCTGTTTGCAGAGATGAACAAATATTTGTGTGAATAAACGATAGATCTGTGCAGAAGATTTCTTTTTTTCCTTTCTGAGTTTCTCACAATGATTTAAAGTATTAGCGTCGTTTAGGAAAGCAGGAAAACGACATAAAATGAAGAAGTGAATGTCACTTCTTATTGATTTCGAGCATTTGATAATGATAGTATGGAAATGATAGTGGGAAATAAGTTAATGCAAATTTCGAACAGAAATTAGTAGTGATACAGCAAGATTATTCTTTATTCACGTAAGCAGAATTCTGCTTAACACAAACAGTACTTAAAGCAATAGTCATGAAAATGTGAGTCTAAAGGTGAGTGAACTCGTTGAAATACTCGATAGTGACAAATGAAATCCTGTTCAAATTTGGTTAGTGCTAATGTTGGTGACAAATGTTTTGTTCGTATGATAAAAGTCAGTATTTTCAAAATTTACACACCGATTTCTTACTCAAATAAGGTGCATAGGATTTATTCGTGTTGTAGAAGTGAGAGATTTGAAATGAAAAAGAAATATTTGCACAACAGGCAGCGACGTGCTTCGCATTTTGGATAAATATAAGCGTTACCAGGTGTTTTCCATCGATATTTACGCTATTTTGCTGGTTTTTTAAATGATTACTACAATAAAACGTATGCAGTGATATGCCACTGTTCATATTGTCACAAACGTTTTATTGAATGTTTGAAAAACTCAGTTTATAATCTCTTCTAGACGAGTGACTTAAACAATTATTCTTTGATTATGTGGTGATATATCAAATTTTTGAGAAGGGAATTGAATAATTATTTTATTGATTGCTTAAATTAATTTGTTCTAGGAAACGAAAATATATATGGTTACATCATATAATTTAGACATTTCCACTGCATCCGTATTTGCATTCCTCAAACTGCTATTTCGTTGGAAGGCCAGTATATGGAAAATTGTCTTGAAAGAATTATTTATTTGGACAATTTTATATTTACTTGTCACTTGCTACTATAAATCGGGATGGTTCATGAGTCAACAAGTAAAAAGGTCTCCTTTTTCCAATTTTCTAATCACGTATGTAAAGTATGGAATAATTTGAAGAGCTTTCCTTTACTTCATCACTAATTACAGTTCATCATTTCTTTATGTTTCCTTTTTTTTGGCTAAATAAAGTGAACTATTAATGTAGCATCAAAATTACCACTTAGCGATCTCTGATAGTGAACAATCATGCTGCACTTTTCAGATTGATTATGTACTTGAGAATAAGTTTCGGTACTAACTAATCCAATATATTACTTAGTGATTAGAAGTGAGATATGAAATAGCCAAATATTCCTATTGATTCAATATTAAATATTTATTCAAAGTAGAGATATTCTAGCGTATTTGAACGAACTGCAATATACTTCGGGAAATATTTGAATCGTAGTAACCTCATATTTATCTTGGGCTTTTTCGTCTCGTCTGTCGCCACTCGATGGAATGTTTTACTCCAAAATATAGGTTTCATAGAAAGGTTTGTACTCCCACCGCATGCTTCTATTTCTTTAGAATTATCTGGCAAGAAACATGAGCATGTTAATCCCTGAGTTTTAATTTTATGTTAGTTTCCTCTCTTCCGTATTGTTTGGTGATTCACTTCCATTACTGAATAAAAATCTAGTTTGGCGCTATTCGTCAGTAGCTGCGTGCAGGGTGACGATGAAGAATCTCGAATGTGTCGTCGAACTATTGTACGGAATGCTTGTTTGGCACAGTGTTTAGTACTTCGAAATATCAGCGTACGCATTCGGAAGCGCTTTCCTACAATGAGTACTTTGGTGGAAGCAGGTATTTCTTTACTAGATTTTTTCTGCTCTGTTGGCCTTACGTTTCATACCCTTACGTCCGCAGTCCAGAACTGGTTAAGAAAAACTTTGTAGGATTTATGACGAAGAAAGAACTGGAAAAATTTGAAAGTTTTGAAATACCATACGACAAGTACTGGCTACCAATAACTTGGTCAATGACGCACGTGTTGGACGCTAGAAAGAGTGGCAAAGTGATAAATGATTTGGAAATGAGCAAACTTGTCGACGTTAGTATTACTTTATACTTCTGTTTTCAAAGAATGAATTTTGTTGAACTTTCTGTTCTTTCAGGAACTGAGAGCCTTCAAAAATTGCCTACAAACACTGACAAATTACGACTGGGTGCCTTTACCTTTGGTTTATCCACAGGTATTCTAACAGATTTATATCTTTATATCCATAATCATATATCATAAATAATAAGTTTTAAAAAAAAACAGTAATTGTGAAATGAAATCAAATTGGATTGAGGATTTAACCAGACATTATGCTCTAGAATGTCATCTAGAAAGCTTGATCCTATCATCAGACTATTTTTTTGCAAACCATCTTCTAGCTATCGACAGATTAAACACTTATCCTTCATGCAGTATGCCAACATTTCGTCGGTTAGAATTCTAATAATACGGCATCTTAATATACTCATTTTAATACTACTTGACTGTACTGTAATCTTTATGTAAGATAAGAAATTATGTAGGCTTTGTGAATACGTTGAAGTGATAGACGTTGAAAATTTCCAGGTAATAACTATTTCTGTTTACTTCTATTTTATTGTATGCCTCTTTGCAAGACAACATTTCCTACCAGTTGTTAAGAACGACCTCGAATTTCACGTATGTCACAATCATTTATTTTCATGGACATACGCCATCGCATCTTTGACATATAAATTTTTCTATCTTTTGGTTTCTTCGAATTTTCTCACTAAATAGCAGCTAAAGATTAAAAGGATGATAAAATTTGTAGGAGGGCTAAGTCTAAATTTTAATGAATTTTAATTTCGGGTTTATGCAGTGTAAAATTTGCAATTTCTATTCACGTAGGGAAAAACAATAAAGAGTATATTGGTGCTGTTGTTTATAGTTCGATACTGTGTTACCTGTGATGACGATGGTCGAGTTTTTATTTTATGTGGGATGGATGAAAGTAGCAATGAATTTACTCAATTCATTTGGTGAAGATGACGACGATTTAGACTGTAGCTTTTTCATTGACAAGAATCTCGCTGTGTGTTTCTGAAATTTTCATTATTAAGATGCATAATTAGAAATATAGAGTTACATATACAAGATTCACGCTTGATAACTGTTTTCAAAAAGTAGCAATAGTTAGTAGTATTATTATTGAGGCAATGTAGGGCACGCAAAGTCTCGAAAGCTATATAAATGAGTTAAAAAAAAAAAAAAAACAAAAACAAAAATTACATTGTACATTGGTTTTCGGAAGAGTGATTCTTCCGAATGACTTATTAAAGTGTATAACAGTGACACTAAAGTAATTGGCGGAATGGATGTTGGCATCCACGTAATGCATTGATGTTTAACATTTCACCATAGAGCGATTCAAGGTTTAAAGTTTCATGAATTGTTTTTCAGACTGGTCTATACATCGTCGACATATACCGCAATGTCGTACCGAACTTACATGATAGCTTTTCGGCATCTTTTGAAAAGTCATGATTTGATTTGAAAGTGATAAAAATGAATAGAATCTGCGTTTCTCAAAAAATTGCAATTTCATTATTAGTGTTCATATGGTATGGTCAAAATTAAAATAAAATTATCTAAATCCAAGTATCAATAGTTGACACCTGCCGTAGAAGTTATTAAAATTTATTAACTGAAGTTTATGTGGAGGATAGCCATAACGATATATATGCAGGCACAAGAATTATCCATGTTTTTAATGCACTTCCTGATTTTTGATTTATGGGATATTTCAACAGCTGGTATAGGTAATTGATATGGGTTTGAGATAGTGTAAAATTATCGATTCATGATGGAATCAATGTGTTGCATGGAAATATTTATTGTGTGTAGCAGTATTCTTAGTAGTCCGAACTTATCATTCTCATTTATAAAATTGCTGTTCCAAAGCGGGAAATAATAGATTCTTTTGTTATACGATCTGCATTACTCCGCTATATGTCATATTTGCTGGAATGGAATACTTTTTCTAGAAGTTTTAAAGCTAAGAAAAAATAAAATTCGATCATTTTTAGGAAGTTCCACATCTTGAGCTATTAGAACTGCTGTTTGGAGTACACTTCTCATTGATTCACTGCAGTGAATCTGCCATCTTTTTATTTTGTGAAAGCTTACCGAACTTACCGAACTCTCTGAACACCTTACCGAACTTAAGTGGAGCATGAATCTAACAGGCATTCATTCTTCTGCCGTTTCACAAGTGACACTCCTTACTGCGCATGAGGAAATTCAAGCTATAGAAAGTGGACTACAGTGTAAGCTAAAATAGCTTTCTGAAATTAATTCCTGGTGATGTCTCAATTTTGCTCTTTTTCCATTCCAAAATGACAATTTCCAGTTCTGCCGAAGAAAGCTACATTATACTACAATATGCAAGTAATGTTTTAGTATTATCTATTTTTCTCAGTCAAGTTCAAGCAGTAATATATGCATAATTTAAAAAAAGAAAATTCCTCCGTGTTTCTCATCTTAAATGGCTTTATGGAATATGATCATTAAATAAATCCCAGAAATGAGCAACCAATGAATACAAGCAGCCGTATCATAAATATAAAAAGAAGACGAACTATGATAGTAACGATGGGTAAATCTGATAATTACAGCATTATTAGTACTTTGGAAGATTTCGAAATCAGATTGGAGAACCATGTCCAGGTTAAAAGATATTCGATTTGTCATATGGCAATAAAATTGCGTGAAGATAAAGAGTTATCCGGTCCTTGCACTTCTGACCAGTGCAAGTATCATCTGAAACCTGCAATCAAGAAATATGATCACTACAAAGACTTTTAATTGAAAGCAAACTACTACCACAAATGCATTACCGCCGTCTTTATCCTCTCCGAAATATCAAAAACATTTTATTCCTAACAAAAAAGAGAGAGAGAAAAAAAAACTGCGTTTTATTCCCAAACACAGTACTAAACACCATAACTAGAAATTATAAAGCTTTGTTGATGATTGATGATGAACAATAAATTTAATGAAACCGTGGAAATAAAATACGAGTCTAATAAACACCGCAGCAAAACCTTTCCATATATTTCTTTTCTGCTACAAAATTTCCTACCATATTATCAAATCTTTTAGACAAATATATAGTTTCCAAAGCAATAATTCGATATCAGTAATATTAATTGGGAAATTATAATCATATAGAAGCTCTACTTAGCGTCTCTGGATAAACATCACATTTATCTTATGTAAGCAAATCCTCATTGTACAACCACAGTTCTTAGCACAGCTTTCAGCATTGCATTTGAAATGCATACAAAATGAAGAAATTTACTAGAAATATTTCGAAAATAATTCACATTGGTTAAGAAATATATGCTAAATGTTAATTGTATAAGACAGATGTTATTAGTGTTTTTTCTAAATATTTTGCATATAAAATAATTCGCGAGAATACGAAAAGTTCACTTCCTGATTTTGCAACTTCTCGAAATATGTTAACATAGCAGGCGGTTTCCTCAATACAAAAACTTTAGAAATCTTTGGTCAGATGTACCACAAATTATGGGTCACAATTAAGAATTGCTTATTACATGATAACTTTTCCTCCATAATAGCTTGAAGAAAGAGATGTATGCTAAATTTTGCAAATTTACCAGCCGACGATTGATTTTCAGAGATCGGTAAGGCATCAGGCTATGCCGTGAGAGCTTCTTCCAAAAATTTTCACCAACAATATGGATACCATTGTCATTTCTAGAAAGTTGTTGCTAGTTCCTTTTACGTAAACATAGGAAGGTGACATCCAAGTTATAATTTTTCACTGATAGCTTTGCAATCATCCCTTTTAGAAAAAAAGAATTGGCGCGTGAGGGAAAGCAAATAACTATGTGAAATTGGTTAATAACCATGTAAAGAAAATTAACCATATAAAATTCACTAATATGAATAAGTTCTATGTTCAATTGGGCTAACGATATGTGGCGTGGATAATATATTGTTTTAAATATATGGAGTAAGAGGTTAGCTGAAATTGAATTTCTATTAAGTCAGCAGCAAAATAAAATTTGTTTTGTTTATTAAATTAAAAACTGGAATTGGCGCGATCAGCATTTTATTGTATCCTTGTAAATCCAGGATGTTCTAAAACCAAAGCATTATAAGTTAAGCAGAAAATTTCTTTCACTGATTACTTAGATTTTACTGAGCAGTCGATTATTCATTCTTCTTGCACATATTTGTATTATATGCTTCAAATAGAGATCATTTTTACAGGACGGAAGAAAGATGGAGAATTGAAGAGGAGTGATTTGACATGAAACGCTAATTGTATCGTAAATCTGTTTTTTCATTCATCTCTTTCACATGTTCATTTTCGATTCTCATTAAATGCTGAGCAACTCAGCTTTTAATGAATTTAATGGTATTGAGGTCTTAATTCCAGTGAACCATGAAGAGGCAAATTTCGTGACAGCTAAAACTATTTTAGTGTACCTTTATTAACACAACTTTCAATTGTTTTTTCTAATCTAAAAAATAATTTAATGCTATTCTCTGCTTAAATAATGTCTTGGCACTCATCGTTGTCACAATTAAATCAATATTACCAACTTTCATCAATTTAATTATTGCTAAACTAAATACTTTTACATAAGGAACTTAAAAGTTGCCAAGTGAATTGCTATCGTTGGTGCTGTTGCAATGTCATTGCTACCGATTATACTGATTAATGAAAGATGGATAATTAGTAGCTTTATTTTGGTCGAGAACTCAATACTTTTTGAATTTAGTGAGTAAATTACATTGAAAGAGAAATATATATTTCGTTTGTTTAGTAAAAAAAATAACTTAAAATAGCTTGATTAAAGTATTTTAAATTGATGAACTGTGTAAATGGGGCTATCAAGACTAAGACGAATTTAGTGGCATTTTTATTGAAATGATAACTCTGGGTCTGAGTTACATATGTTCTCGATTTTCGAAGCACTCTTAACTCCTATCATCACAATTTTTATCATTTATCTTTTTATTGTCTAACGAAAATTGAAATGGCTTTTTGATTTCGAATTAAGTGAGATGGACCTTATAATTATTTAGCATTGATATTGCAGTTAGAATTGAAATGTGGAATGAAAAGAAAGAAAGAAAGTGAGAAAAAAAAAGTCTAAGAAAGCAAAAACACATTCTGGAATTATTTTAGATTAGAAAGAAATTTATACGCAAAATATTATGGAGTGATTGAAACAATTTATTTCATTCCTTTTCACTAACCAACCACCGAACTTTTATTTAAAAGTGTTTGAAGTTTAAGACACAAAATTCTATAGCAATTGTTCCAGATGACAACATTCAAATGCTCTTAAAGCCTTGATGAATATATTGATAAATCCACAACAAACAATAAAAGAAGCATTCTGTGATCCAGCAGTTTTACAAGAGGAGGAGAATAAAGAGAGAAGAGAAAGAGTTGGGGAATAAGAGGAGGGAAAAAGAGGGAGAGAGGAGAGATGGAGAGCAGAAGAGGGAAAGGGGAGAGATGGAGAGGACGGGAGAGAGAGGAGAAGGAGTAGGGAAGAGAGGAGGGGAAGAGGAAGGGGGAGACAGAGAATAGGAGGGAGAAAGAGGGAAAGAGGAGAGATGGAGAGGACAGGAGAGGAGAAGAGGGAGGGGGAGAGGTAGAGAGGGCAGGAGAAGAGGAGAGAGGAAGGAGGGGAGAAAGAGGAGGGAGAGAGAAAGGATGGAGAAGTGGGAGAGGAGAGGGGGAGGGAAGGGGAGGAGGAGAGGGGAGCGGAAAATCCAGCTCACCGTTCTCCAGGGGAGCATGTTTGCGATACTGGCAGCAAACAGTGACCGATATCAGAAACTGATCAGATCAAAAATCCCGAACCTTCTATGACTTACTTCCCGCTTTGCAGGTAGAACATAACCACACAAATATCGGTCAGTCTAGAATAGAAACAAATTTCGACGAAATAAACAGATGCTGAACGGAATCGATGATTACGTGAAGTGTAATTCGTGAGACCCACGTGGGTTAGTGGGCAACACTAAGTGATATATATGATATGTGTAACAACAGTAGAAAAGTATTCACAACACTGGATAGAAATTCAAGCACGAAGAAGTGACAAACAAATCTCATAATTTAGAGCCAATCAGTTAGTCATATTTGTCATGGCCATGATAAACTATCTACACAACAGAACTCTCTTCTGGTTCGTATAAATGATATTAGTCATCAATAAAATATGCAAATGCACATGAAATAATCCATGAATTAATCCTCACAAATTGAATGCATTGCGATTAATTGTTCCGGAAATATTCTAGTACAAACATTATATTGTGTCTGTTTTAATGTGACATTTGTTTACTATTGTTTGACAAATAGTAGAATTTGTAAAATTTCATCCCACATTTACGCATTGTATATAATATATCTGAGGAAAATTTTTAAATCTTCAATAGGATTTCAAGCCAAATGATTAACTGAGAATAGCCAAATGATCAACTGAGAGCATATTTTTATGCTTTGTAACGAATATAAGTTGTTATTTTTATGTGTTCAATAAATGATCCTTATTAAGGAAGTTTTTATTTTATTTCTTCATTTACTAATAGTAAAATAGATTTCGGTAAAATCGCTGAAGTAATGAACTGATTGACATTCATCTTACGATATGTTTTTGATTATAATTATCAAAGAAATGAATACTGTTTGATGCATTTTGTTATTATTAGTAACAAATTCATTTTTTTTCCAGTGATATTTTACGCAAGTATAGTATCAATTTCTACGTGACCACAATAGGAAAAAACATGGGAATATGTAGATAAAGTTGATTCAACGGGAGTATGCTCAATTATTTATTTTCAGTTTTTTTTTTTTGAAAATATGAGAATATAATAGTAACATACAAAGAAAGAAACTCTGTTTAATTGCAGCTCACACATTACTCACACGATTTTGTTGAATCACCTGAAAATTCAATATTTCAGCGCATTTAATGTTATAGTATTAAAACGAATACATAATCATAAGTTCACAATAAATGGTGAGGCCACGTAATTATAAGTGATTAGTCTAAAGTATAGAATTATGATATACAACAAAAACATTTATTTTCAAATATTTCTTTTATCTTACAATGTAATAACCAGCACTCTCCCAACATTTAACAGTAGTTGGGCGAGAATCACTAATCATCAAGATTATTCGAGCTAAATAATATAAAGGCTCTGGATGGGATCACCTCAACCAAGTGATGGTGGTCTCAGCATAATCAGTTCCAACCATTAAAAAGCAACAAGAATAACAAAAAACTGAAATTCAAAGCCACTACTTACTTAAAGTATATATAATTGTCTCCCTGCTTGATAAAACTCGGGATTAAAACATAATCAAGTATGGTTTTACGTTTTTGCAATTTAAGCGTAAATGATTTGCCTCACTCATCATCTTCTTCTTCCAAGCCTAACTGGCCATACTTGGATTTTTTGGAAGGCGGTGATGACTGTTCAGAATCGAAAGCTCGTGAAGCAGCAGCCATTGCAAGCACCGCTAATCCATCTTCCGTACTTTCACTACTCGACTGCCTCGAAAGCAAGGCAGCTGAGCGTTTACTGTTGGTTCCCGATGCATTTAGTACATCCCTACAAACACGTGCCTATCAACCGCATTCCAATATTAAATTTACACAATTTTTTTTTTTTGCTATGAGGTTTTCGCTATTTGATACATAAGAGGGTATGACAAAATTTTCATTACAAAAAAGTTGCTAAGAAAATTAGTCATCACGACAAACATTTCAATATTATATAAATATACATAATATTGTACAAGTTCATTCTTATATTTTCATACTGATAGTTTTTGTTCGCAATGGGAATCCAGAATTCATGTTTCTCAGAAGGCATGCCAGTTTCAACAAAGAACGGAATAAGATACCTTTTTCCATTTTTATCAACTGATCCAGTTGTTAAATGTTGTTCAGAACGCAATTTCTGACTGATTGGTGATTCTTCAGCGGTCTGCCAAGTAGATGATTCAGACTTACCAATTATTTCTAGAAATTTTCCTTGAAAATTAACCGTAATTACTTAAAAGGTTTCTTATTTTTCAAATAAAGATTTCAAAATAACCAGTTTCATTTATATAGAAATGTTGATGACAAAATATAAAAAGATGCTCTTTCCTCCAATGGAAACTCTAACAGAGCAGTTAGCACCATAGTTTTTCGTAGTTTTTAAATTTTAAAAGCTTTCAATGATAATTATTCAAAATTCGAAAAAATCCTGCTCAGTAGATTGCAATTATAAATCAGCTGCTAATAATTTACCATTAACTTCATCTTCCTTATCCTCAGATGCTTCTAAATCTGCAGCTATACTAGCTACAGCTGCTGCTGTTTCCAGAGTCTCGGCTGTTGATGGTGCCCTCGGTTCAGTTGTTATGCGGGGTCGACAAACCACCGGCCTCGAGATCTCCTGAATAAAACATTAGAATTACAAATGCTTTGCAAGCAGATTTCATTTACAGTAAACGGAAGGAAACAGTAAAATGGGACCTGTCGAAATGTCGGAAGAGGATACGAAGAACGCGATTGAACCCGTGGAGCAGTATAAGACAAAGAATCAATGGCAATAAGCCTCGAGCGTGCATTTCCTATAAATATTTAAGCTATATTTTCCATTGAAAAGGTAGACAACACTGCTAAATATATGCAACTCAGAAAAACGCTTCCAAACTGCCGACTTTGAAAAATCAGTCATACATTAAAAAATTCCGCAAATTTAAACGAAATTACAGCTAAGTATGATACAAAATCAATAATCAAGTGTAAAATACATCAAATAAAATCACCCTCAACAAGATGAGAATAATTTAAATGCTGACCAGCAATAAAAGTCTTAAAATGAAAGTGTTATAGGAAATATTTGGAAGTCAAAATAAATGTGGGAACAAAGAATTCCAAGAAACTAGATCCCACATCAATTCCTGGAAAGAGGGTGAGTAAGAGAGAGAGGGAGAGATGTAGTTCTTAATGTGCTATTGATGAAGCTAAAAGTACATTACACAAAAAGGTTAGACATCGCCGTCTTAACTCATATTCGTTTAATACACGAAAAGAGCTTAAACAATAAAAATGCACGAATCACTTATAAATAAAATCTTATTTGTTAAATGGAGCTATAAAAAGTAATTTAAAAGTAATTGGAGAGCCTAAAAAGTAATTTAAAAGAAACTCACCACTGATGAATTGTCGTTCGTCATGTTGTCGGAAATAGGGGCCAATTCTGGATGTTGCTGCATTCACAGGTCTACAATTGCTCAAATAATTTAGATAATCTATTTTTGTTCCCAAAATTTTAATTTATATTGTAAATAACCTCCTAAAATTTCTCCTACGACTTTTTACACTTTTTTTCAAAAATAATCGGTATATTACTTCTTAGATATTTGAGTCTACTATCGGAAGAATAATAACATGCTAAAGCAGCTTATTATCTCCACATTTTTCCTCTTAACCAATTCAGTCATTGTTAAATTACACTATACTGTCTGGATCCGTTGAAGAATCTGTTTCAGAGACAACATAGCACACGCAAAATAAACATTACCTAAAGTTCTTCATCCTACAATCACTGTTCTTAAAATATTAAGAAAAATTACCGGTTAGAGTAATCCATTGGTAAAACAACATTTGTTGGTGCCCGTCTTATTCTACTATCCAAAGAAATGGTACTGCGGTTGCGCCAGTTCGGTAATGGACGAGAAGCGCCTGTACAAATATATTTAAGACAAACAAAAACAAACATAATTATAAACTAATAACATAGTTGAATGGAAAATCGAGTTTTTTTTTCAACACTTAGATCTAAAATAATGGCTTTAACTTACCTACAGTAGCAATATAGCGTGATGGTAAGCGTACCGGCTGACCAGGGATAGGAGATGTTCCTGTGCGATTTCGCAATACGATCTATAAAATTACATTTTAAGACTAAAGCAGGATAACTTTTTTAAGAACAGAAAAAGTTACTGGTTTTTGTAAGGCAGATCTTGAAGACGCAAATGTTAAATTCATCGATGCTGATGCAAGAGATGCACTGCTTGTTGAACCCAATGATATCATTTCAGGCGCCTCAATAGTCGATCTATTAACTGCTGTATTATAAAAAGTTCTGAAACATAAGGAATGATAGTTCATTATTTGAAAAGTTCAATATGGTTAAAAAGCACTAATATATATGTATCTAATTCTTCCAAAGCATAAGATTTTTCTTTCATATTAATTTAAGTTAAATTTGCCATGTTTACTTCAATTTATTGTGAAAACTGAAAATGATATGTAATAATGAATTTGCATACTGACTAAATGTATAGCAGACTTGCAAACTGATAAGGTAAATGGAAATTTGTTAATGAACCAATTAACAGTTTACATTTTAGCAATCAAGTTTAACAACTTTTGAAAGTTTAAGATCTGCATGAATTTATTATTGGACAGTGTACAAAGATAAAATTTTTTACATGTTAAACAGATATATTTACATTTCTTGATAAGAAAATTCTTAAAATTTTATGAATCTATTTAAAACGAATAGTTAAACTATTAAAATCAGAATTACCTTCTGAATCCAATCTTGGGAGTAAAAGTAGCAGCAGTGGGGGCTGCAATTCTTCTAGAAATTAACTGTGATGCTGATGCTGCTGCTCTGGTCGGTCCACCATTCAAAAGATCCTGTACCATTGATTTCGAAAGCTGTTCTTGTGAACGATATATGGAGGGGCTTAATATATTACCTGCAAAAAAACTCCAGAACACTTAGTTTGGAAGTTTACCTTCAACAAAGATAATCAAAAGAAATAAATAATTAATATAAAATCCGAATTCAGTACACGGCAGAATATGTTTGTAGATGATTCGAAGAAGTTATGACCGCCAAAAAATTAGTTGCTGCAGACGATACTTAACTACTGATTTAAAATTAAATTTAACCAAAACTCACCGCCTAAATAATCTCTGACGTCTGACAGTGAATATCGAGTTCCAGGAGTTCGTCTGGAACATATCAATTTCATTACTTAATAGATTGGCTCAAATATTTTCGATAAATTCAAGTTAGTTCAGAAGCTTTAGCAAAACCAATAAATATGCAAAAATAGTTAAATCCATGAAGTAGACCTTATTTTGGTTTTGGGAAAATTCTCAGTCACAAAGGGTCTAGTTCGAGCACAAGAATAAAGGTCTTCTTCATGCCATGACCTGTGTATTGACACACCATGCTGCAGTAATACGTCTCCAGAGTTTCTGGAACAGAAACAGAGATAGTTGAAATACAATGCAGATTTTACCAAAACTTTGAAAATTTATCTTCGGAAGCTAAAAAAAAGAATGTACGAAGAAAAGGAATCAATCACAGTGAATGGTTAGAGGAAGGTTTATTGTCTTAATATATTACTTCAATTCTTCTTTGCTATTGTTGAGTATTTCAGCTTTGTATAATAAATGTATAACAAAAAAACATGATAAAAAATGAGGAGCAGCAAAAAAATATTTATCAAGCATACAGTACGTAAATAAACAGACCTTAAACAGATCCCTTTAGCTGGTATATTTATTTTTACATCAGTCCCACTTTTCTCTTCTCTTCTTTCATCAATAACAACGAATTTTATTGGTAAGTCCTTATTTTCTTCATCAGTATCTCCTATAAATTATGAGGTAATATTTCTGTTGTACAAGAGAGAAACCAAAGACGAATTTCCTAATGTTACCCGTGTTATAAAAAAAAAATACGAACAAGGGAAAGCAGTGAAATGCATATGTAAAAATATTTAGACAATTAAGCTGAAGATAAAAAAAAAGATTGTTAACCACGCTAACAATGATGACCATAAAAAAAGATATCAATATTACGTACACAATCCATAATCGTCGATTCATGAACATAAAATTAATAATCTTATATTTCAAAGCTTTAATATTAAAGAACAGTCTCAATGTTTGCAAAGTAATCAAAACTTAAGTATTTAAAAAGAAAAATGAATACAGCTAACCTCTAGCATCAGTAGCAATAGAAGGATCTGTTAACGGCTTTGAATCAGACTTCACATCATTCTGAGTGTGGATATTACTCTGGTGACAGAAAAAGGATAAGATGAATCAAAGACTATCTTAATGCTAAGGAATAAAACTTTCTTGTTGAAAGCGATGATTTGAAGCAAAGAAACACATAAATAAAACGAATTCTGACTTCATTGAGAACAAAGTTGAACCAAAAGAAAGTAAATATCGTACCTTTATAAAAAACCACCAAATCTGATGGACAAATAATACTGCATATTACTTCTCAAGAAGTCTTCGAACAAATCGGAGTAAATATCGTACCTGTTCAACAGACAGAGCGCTGCGAATATTCGATGTGTTATTCATTGGAACTACTCCTTGCTGCACAGTAATTGTTTCCCATTGTTCCATAGTATTAGTTGAAGTATGATTTTTTTTAGCTGGAAAATAATCAAAATGACCTAAATTATATTAAAATGGAAAAAAGTATGCCATATAAAAATGGTACTCCGATGGAAAAGATAAAATGTGTACGGAAAGAGCAAAACAATCAATCAGAGAGCTATAAAACATTATACTATATCGCACAATTAATTTTAAATTAAGGATACTAAGGATAAAGGCAAAAAAAAATTCCTTGAGAAAATATAATCTGTTAGAAAACATGTTTAATTAATCTTTGAAACTGTAATTATCATGTCCTTCAAAAAAACGGTAATCAGATAGGATAAAATAAGAGAAAGCTGCAGAGCAGTTTTCTCATATTTTATAGTCCTAGAAACAAAAGAAAAAGTGCGCTAACCAATATGCCTGAAGCAGAAGTTTGATCCATCACCAAAATCTAAACCAAGGGCGCCGCATTCTCTACATGGTGCAAAAAGACGTTGTCGATGATCATCATAAATGTCTTGAATCATAACAATCAGCGCAAATATTTAATTAACAAATGAGTACATACATAAATCAAGTGAGTAATAGATTAAACGAAAAACATAATGTCAGTGCACAGTAATGTAGATGTCAAGCGTATGAAGTACAATTAGTTAACAAACTTACGTGCAACACAGTGATTCATTTTTGGAAGTGTCCAGTTCGAACAATGATGCACTTTCTTTATCCCTAGCTCATTTTCATTCTCATGAGAAATACATTTCAGGTCTTTCCCAAAATCCAAAACTCGCTCGATTTGTTCACATAATTTGCTTAATAGAATTCGAATAATGTGAGAATCGTGCTCTACACTCACTTCGTTTGACTCTTTGCTTATTTCAGAATTTGTTGCAGTGACTGCTTCGTAATATTTGTCATTTGACGGAAGACTGTTCTGAATATCAATTGTTTAGAAAGAGTTGTACTCAAAACCAATGCATATTCAATAATGATCATTCCTAGCCACTAGAAATCCACACAAATAGTTAAGGTATTAGGCAAAACTGATTGGCAATACAGGGAAATCAAATTGCTGGGGAAAATACATCTACAATACTTTCCAAAGATAAAACACGACTTACTTCAGGAATAAGGAAGATACATTGTGCACATTTTATGTCATCTGTTTTAAGATAATCTAATTTGTGTTCTTCAGAACCATCCCACTCAAGCCTTGCTTTCAGCCTTCTTAACATATATTGGTCCTTTGCCGAATGATGCGAGTGGTACCTCCTATTAGCAAGCTGAATCTCCCGTAAGTGACTATCTTCAACTTTTGGTTCCTCTGAAAAGTTTGGTTTGTATTTCATGTACATGTTCATTAATTTAAATAATTTTTTCAAAAATTAATTTTTAGTTCCAAAATACTCCATATAATATTTGTAGGATGAAAATCAGAGAGATTTCTTACAACAAATATAGCGTAATACGTCTTAAGAGCATATGTTCATAAGCTACCTTTCTTTTGATCACCCAAAGCCTTGGCGTACGAAACAGTGAGACGACGGACTTTTTCGGCTATCAATTTCCGCAAATCACGAGTAACAGATAATTTCCGCTCGAGAGCAATTAGTTGACAGCGAACTACTTCTTCATCAGTCCAAACTTCAGCATTCCTGTTTAAAATATCTGTTGTTAAACAGTAAAAAATGTGTAACTACTTTCCCGTAAGAAAGTGAAAAAATTAGGAATTGGATAAAAGATGGAATGAATCCCACTTTTTACTTGAAAAAAAATCCATTTTTTCATTTCTTCTTTTAAGAGATCAATGCAAATTACGCACAGCATTATGGTCGCATTTCATCAAAAAATGCATATTATTAAGTAAACAAACAGCTAACTAAGGAATCATATATTACTTCAGAGGATCTTCATCATCGTCATCCAAAAGAAGATCATTGAACAGATCTTGTTCTGCACAAGCCCAATCTTCTACTGTCATCAGCGTTTCATCATCAGTGCTAAAAAGTTGTTGCTTCTGATTGCCTAATATAATTTTTTGGACTTCAGATGGATATTTTTCATTTTCCTTTTATCAGTGTATCAAATTTAGATTCCTCTGAATCTACATATACAAAATCTCATCCCAAAATCAAGAAAATTGGTAACCACATAGATACAAGAACTCACGTCGTGGATACATCTTTCGCTTTATTGAGCAAAGTTTTTTCAATGCGACGCTGTTCTGCCATAGCATGCTGTGCCAATTGTTGGAAGAAACGAGTATGCTTTAAAAACAATAGGAATAGAAGCTTTTATTTTAAATTGTCACATGTAGTATTTCTGCGTAGAATAATCTAATGTGTACCTAAAATTTCTTCTAAAACTATTTAGTCTTTTAATGCATTGTGTCTTCAGATGGTAATATAGTTGTATTATAGAGGCAAATGAGTTTCTTAGAGAGCTTTATATTAGCAATCGATAGATCATTAAAAATGCCATACCACTTCACAGAAACCTTCAACTGTCAACTCTGAGGATGGCCGATAATTTTTACACGCCAGCTGCGTTCGACGACTAACATATGCGCAGCGTTGCATGCAAATTTCTTTTTCGCTTTCATCATCATCAATCCGGTACTTCCACGCACGTCGACTTAAACGAACCCGCCTATTCCCCTCGCTCGCTTTTTGTTTTATTTTCTAAAATAAATTCTGTCGGATCATTGAAAAGTTTAAAAAGTTGGACATGCATTGACCAACAATTACGATATAACTGTTGAAACTAACAAACAATGTAAAGAGCACAATTTCCAATCATTTACCTTACAGATAGCAGACAATGTGAGATCGTCATGCAATGCATGACCAAATTTCTCATCACCTGTCTTTGTTCCCATCGCTGCAGTGATTCCTGCTAAACAGAATAGTTTACACAGAACCTGTGCACAATGAGCAAAATTAGTTAAGATTCACTTTTGACTGACATATGTATTTACACGGTAAGAAGAAATGAGAAAAAGAAAAAAAATGCACAGAAATCCTCCTAACCTGAATTTCAAAATTCCCCAACTAACAGATAATGGAAATACTGTAATAATTTCTTACTTTTCTTTCAACCCTATTTGCCTCTCCCTCTATTTGTGCACAATAATAATTAGATCAGCACAAAATAAGCAAAGCAGCTTTTGACCACATGGAAACAACTATTAGCATTTCAAATATTTATTTTGGAAATACTTCGTAAGAAAACAGCAACAGATGAAAGCAAAGTTGGACTAATAAACCAAAAAGGACAAAAAAAAAAAAATGTACATCTTTATTAACAGTAAAATAGTAACTCAATTTAAACGTAAAAACATAACTATCCATTTACAGCAGTATCAAATCCTTCTGCGGCTTTAGCCATACCCAGGAATACACACACCTTATGCTGAAGCCAAGTCTGATTACCACCATGTTCGAAAGAGCTACTACAGTTATTATATTTCACAATCAACGCCAATTTTCTATTTTCACCTTCACTTGCATAAACATTAAATCTTATACCAATGCGATGCCGTCGTCTGAATACAATGAAACTGAAAAATAAATCCTGAATAAACTTTATATTCTACTGGAAACACAAATTACAACAAGGCGAATCCGTGATACAAGAGAGCCACATTAATATAAAGAATGGCAAGTGTAAAAATATTTCAATTATTTAATATAAAAAACATAAAAGTATTCCATCGGTATCAAAAAGGATCACATCGGCAAAATAACCAACCCTTCACTTTCGTTAGCAGACTTTTCAAATGTTTCATCCCATTCCATCGCATCATCTCTGTTTGGTAGAGAGAGTTCAATGACAGGTGAGTCGCACTATAAGATATAAACTTAAAACAAACACACCAACAGAGAATTTTTCAAATATTGTGAATTATGAATTATGTCGATTACTTATACACCTTATACGTGTAATATGTCAATAAACTACACTATAAAAATTTGAGACAGGAAACTGCATCATTTACCTTAACATACGATTTATCTTCACTTGTATATGGAACAATTATAATGCGTGCAAGACTTGCGGAGAAATTGGATACAGTAAGAAAAAGTGGACACCACTGATTGCTGATGAGAGCTGCTTGACGTGACAGACGAATATCCGGCACATGATTTCCAGCCAAAACCTACAGAAATTTACAAAGTTATTAGCAAACAGTTTCACGAAAATTACAATAAAACGGCAACTAATTCCGCACATACTCACTAATAACTATCAACTTTAGAATGAAATATTTGACTTAATACCTGGATCTTGAATTTAATCGATGTAGGACTATATTCTCCCTTGCATAAACTGTGGTCGCACTGTTTGCAACGTATTGAATGGCGTCCAACAAGAGGAGTTCTAATCGGCAACAGAGGTCGTCCATTGGCAAGAGGTTGTTTTGCTTCTTGCATCAAAGTTGCAATTCTTCCGATGTCTATGAATGATATAAATAAAAGTTCAGCACAAAAAAAAGGAAAAAAAAAACATTTCAACTTGAACTATCGGGTAGATTTTTTCTAATCAGCGGCATTTTCACTGGCATTTCCTTAGCAACTGTTGCATGACCACTATTACTAAAAAAAGACGGTCAATATTATTAAATGGTGAGAATTTTTTTTGTGAAATATATAAGGAAAATTTAAAGTTAAGAATAAAGCAAAATCGTATCTCAAATAGTGTTTTTCATTTAAGATTAATTTAAACGCTATATGAAATAAACGATAAAAAAATGTAAGAAATATGCAAATATTTCAGCAAATACCTATTTCCTGTTCACTAAAAATATAATCATCCAACGATGGAACATCGTCTGTAGGTTCTAATGTAGGAAGTTTTTTTTCTGTTCGTTCAGCCAACGCTGCCTTTCGGCGGTTGTACATTGTCTGCAGGCCAAAACGATCCGAAAGAACAGTACCAAGATTTGATCTTCTGCAATACGCTACCATCTTTCAAAGTTGTCAGCATTTAAACTGTACAAGAAATAATAATATAAATTAGTGGTATAAGAAACAGCAAGAAATAATAATGGTACTTCCTCACCTTTTAGAATATTTGTGTCGTTCACGATCAGCTCTTTCGATAGCAGCGTAATTTCTCATTCTTTCTAGAAATGCAGACAACAGATACTCATCCTCAAGCTGATATTGTGGCCAAGTTGTGGATGAAGCGGAGTCCGGTATACCCGAATCAGTCGTCGTCCAACGACACGTATTGCATGACAAGTGATAAGTTTCATTAGATGCCCGTATGACAGCACTCACTCCTACAATGCTAATAAATATGCTGAGACAAAGTCTGAACACTGGTTGTAAAAAATATCTAGACTCATTAATTACCGAAGTCTGCGACCAGTATCAAAGTACCCACCACAAATTGGACACTGATAGCAGTTCGAGCACCGATTCCTTTTTTGCCGTGCTTCACCAGTCGATACATTGTCGAGACAAGATGGACAGAATGACGTGTCCATTTCTTGGCATACGCATAATATACACCGTATATTGGAACAGTGTCGACAAAAGTACAAGCGATTCAAACTTTCCCATTCACCGCAACTACACTCATACTTTACCTGATCGATAGAAAACAATGCTGTCATGTTCCTTACTGAAAAAAAACATTATTCCGTTTATTGGTTAATAAAATATATTCAACCATTTCCTTTTATCCGAACTGAAATAGACGGAATGGGCTGTAAATGAATGAAAAAAATTTCGTTTGAAATTATATTGAAATCCTCTTCATTAATGATTCCATCGAAGCAGAGAGAAGTGAAGAAAAGCGAAAAGAGGTAGTGTATTAAACAGGCAGGAACCCGCGTACCGCACAGACCTTACTAATCCCCGCAACACCCCTAAACACCACACTTCTGCTTCCGAGATATTTCTAAGTGACAGCACTTGTTACATTTTATAACACTATTGTGACGGCCTTTGTTTTCTTCCAACCGTCAACGTTAAATCCAGTTGTCATATGGCTTGAATGCTTGTTGTGTGGGATGTTTTGAGGGATTTACATTCAAGGAGACTAGTCTTGGAAAGTAGTTTTTTTCTCCACTGAACACACTTATCCACACAAAAACATTTCAGTAGAGAAGTGTATTAAGAGAGTATTAAGAGAACTGGACCAATATCTGCTCCTGTTAACCATCCTGACAGGTAAGTCCTTCATTTTCGTACCAAAAATATATCTTTCCACATTTTGTGCCATAGATTATTGTCTTTCGCATTTTGCAAAATTCAAAACATCTTAAGTTTACAATTCCAATATCTGAACACTTGTTGCGATATTATCACAGTCTTTAATTGGACGATAGTAACAAAATTTGTGATATTTTAAATTTAAACTTCGATGAGATGAAGCAGCTGACTTATTATAAAGCGAGTATCAATATCTATTCCGAGACCTCCCCATCCCTTGGAAGAAGCTGTTTGTTTTAAATGTTTTTGCTAAACCTTATAAAAGAAACTTATCTAGGGCCCTTTCTTAATCGTTAGAAGATGATTTGCAAAATTTGAATGCTGTGCAACGAGTATTCGATTTACATCATTAATGGAGAAACTCCATCTGCAAACGCTTTCCGGTAACAAAATGTTTATATAAAAGTGGGGTAAGTTGATTAAGTTGTAGTTAAACTTCTTTGTATAGTATTCAGTCTTCATATTACTTTATTTACTAAATAGAAAAAAAAATCACTTTACAAGAAACTCGAATAGAAAAAATCACTTTACAAGAAACTACTTTAATTGATCATTAATTGATCATTTCATGACCTAAGCCAATCGATTTTCAGCAGTCGTTTGGAGAAATTAATAAGTAAGCTTAGTTTTATCTTTTTTATTGCTTGTTTTTTCTCTTTTTTTATTTTTATTGCTCGTTTTTCCAAACAACCTGAATTTTCTTTGCTTCTTTTTGAAGCAATTTATAATAAGCGAGTGAGGTGAACTCACAATAGTCTTGTTTCTGATAATTTAGAATTTTTTTCAGGTAACAGCTTACGTGCTTACATCAGATTCTGGGATAATCTGCAGAAAGAAATTATAGAACAATTAATTTTTACATAGATGTAATAAAATCAGTTCTCTTGACTTTGTTCGTTTAGTATTTCGGTATTCTGTATTCCAGTATTGAGCGTATAAGAGAACATTCAGCAACAGTGATGGAATGGATAACGTTCAATACCAGAAGTATATAACCAGTCTTCACTATTGATTTTTATTTTCCTTTAATTTCGTAATGTCGAAAATTATAAACTTCGTAATAGCTCACAAAACTGAACCTGATTGACTTATTGAATTTTCCAAAGAAAAATCATCGCAAGATTGTGTTTGTGACTAGTTCTTTTCATATATGCTGTAATTTTTAATTTTTGTATGCACTCGTGCTAAATATGTTATACGTCTTCGTTTGAATATAATATGATGAGTCTGATTTGATATGAATGTGAATAATTTTGCTAAATTAACTGCCTAACTTTGATAAAAGTCTGCATAAACTTATCTTTTGACATCTGCTGTATTTCAGATATTTTGTAACAGTTTCATCTTTCCGGAATATGTTGTGAAATACAAATGTTTCTGAAATTATTAAAATTATTTTGGCATTAATATGACTTCCTTTTAAAATGATAAAATTATTTTGGCACTAATATAATCTCGTTTTATGTACAAAACAATCGTCACTGTTACGAGATATTATGCCCGTTCTCTTTTTATTTGATTATTTCGGAAAGTCATCTTTTATGATTTGCTGTTACTTGCTTATCATACTTTTAATTTTATTGATTTTCATAGCTTATATTGTCTCATGAGACTCATTAGTTTTTTTCTCAATTGCAAGAAAGAAATCATGTCAAATCGCTCGAATACATCAGAAGACAAAATGACATTTTTTAGTGAAACGTTTATACATCAGAAAGACATTTTTTTAGTGAAAGAAATTGTCAGTTTAGAATGTTGTAAATTAAAAATTGTTTTTATACAGTAGTTGTTAACATTTCAATAGTTCTTCGATATTAACCATCCCTTATGTTTATTGAAATGATTTTGGGAAATTACTGCAGAATATCACATTGTATTTTACCAACTTTTAGAATAAGACAAAATTTTCCGTATCAGCACCATCCCCAGCTTAATGTAGTGATGTGTTCTGATTTTTATTCGAGTTATATTTTGGTTGCGATTTCGAAAACAGGGAATTTTCTACAGAATTCTTTTACCATTGTAATTTAGCAGTTTTAAAGATATATTTCACACCATTCTTTTATTAAAGTTTTCAAAACTTAGGTTCTGTGTTTTGGAATAAGTAATTAAAAAAGATTCTTGAGATTGTTGGGCAAAGTTTTGTCTAGTGGAAAAAAATTGTTGTTTGAGTGGAAAATTTATTCCTATTTAAAGATTTGTTGATATTAAAGAGTGGAAATGGAATTAAGTGAATCGACAAAGAAAGCACTAAAGGCTATTCCACTGATGAGGACGAAAGCAGGACCGCGGGATGGTGATTCATGGGTTCAGGTTCTATACCATTTTTTCAAATTTCCTCTTACTCATTTTTTCAAAGTTTAATTTAGATTAATATTCGGTATTTTGTAGTCAATGGAATTCTTTGTGTGATTGCTAACTGCAAAATGATGATTGTTGATAAATGAAATTGTTTGTAAACAAATAACAATTATAAATAATATATAAATAATATGAGGTAAGGCAAGACTTGTATTTTCAGAGGTTAAAGGAAGAATACGAAGCTCTGATAGCTTTTATCAATAACAACAAGGCTGCAGATTTGGATTGGTTTCGTTTAGAAAGTAATAGCGATGGAACAAGATGGTTCGGTAAATGCTGGCATTATCATAATATGCTCAGGTATTTAATTCGTCAGTCATATAGTACTCCGTTAGGAATTATTCTTCATCGCCTTTTGTGTTTTAGTTTTATGATATGCAGATAAGGTTTTATTACTCCTACCATTTCCCAAAATATGAATATTTGAGATAGGTCTTTTTCATTACAGATATGAATTCGATGTTGAATTTGACATTCCCGTAACTTATCCTACTACTGCACCGGAAATTGCATTGCCCGAACTGGACGGCAAAACTGCAAAAATGTACAGGTATTAGTATTCTAAGTACTTGTTTTCCTTGCCCTCATTTTGAGTTGCTCGTACTATTATTCTTCCAATGTGTTTTATCTGAAAGATATGATTCTGAGAGCGATAAGCATTGAAACTAAAATTCGTGTATTTTATTTTCGTTTACCTTTTTTTCGTCATTATTTTAAAAATGGTTCAACTATGAGATAGATGTTTTGCTGTAATAATATAACAATATTAAAATGAACCTTAATTTCAGGTTGATTCAAATATAAGTAGTGACTATTTTTCATACATAACTATTAACTTATAAATCATTTCATGAGTCATAAATGTTTTAAAAAACTACGATAGCTTGATTCGATGCAAAAGTTAATGATTTTTATTCATTTTTAACTTCACGGTACTTTAGAGGAGGACGGATTTGTCTATCGGATCACTTCAAACCTTTGTGGGCTCGCAATGTACCGAAATTCGGAATTGCACAAGCGTTTTCATTAGGACTGGGACCCTGGTTAGCAGTGGAAGTTCCAGATCTGGTTGATCGTGGCATGATACAGCCAAAAACTGCATAAGGTGTCATTATCAAAACGTAATATTTGTGTCTGATTTTTGATTATATTCAATTTTTTTTGTTTTTACAAGTGGATCAGACCATATCGACTGGATCTTTGGAGTATTGTTTTCAAGAGATCTTTGTTTATTTACTTTTTTTATTTTCCTTCCTTTCTGTGGGAGAGTAGGGAATTTCTTCTTTACACATCTTTTTATTTAATTCTGCATAAATTTCTGCGAAAATTTAGTTCTGCACAAATTTTGCTGTTTCCTCATCGCTTCACTGTACCACTGTACTCATTATTCTGAGCTTTAGTGATTAATCAGTGATCATTAATTTCATTTATTTAAAAAAAATTTGATGTCTTTAGTTTTGTGGTCTTATTATTTTCAAACATAATGTTGATTTTTTATCGGTTGTCATTATGTCACTACCACATTATGTTCTTGTTCCATAATATAAATGTTTATAAATTTGTTCTCATTGCCAACACACAGTATGCTATGTGGGGAACTCATCTATCGCCATAATTCTTCCAGCGAGTTTCACAGGATGATTAGATCTGATAACGGAATAATTCTACACAGCAGGTGGAGGAATCTTGCTAACCCATACTAATATTTTTGAATAAAAAGTGCCAAGCGGACTGAGTGGTTGACTGTTCTTTTGCTTTCTGGAATAAAAAAAGTAAATGTTGAACATAAATTTCAACATGATGCCAAAGGAGAAGGCATGAGTATATATGTTAAATGCTGTTACGAAATGCAAGTGGATCTGTCATTATTGTCATGGCCACATTATTGACTTGGCTATATCTGAACTTCTGGAAGTGGCTATAATATTAGTCACTAGCCCATTTAATTCTATCCCGTATTTACATTTATACTGTTAAACGTTTAAAGTAAAAATCTCACACACAAGCAACTACGACCTCCTAATTCATAAGGAAAAAGAAAGTTTCGCATGTTCATTCCTTGAATTTTCCTTTGTCAGTATGGTAAACTCGTAAAATTGCTATACATAAAATATGCAAATTATTTTGGGTATGCCATCCCCGTATGCAAATTATTTTATCTTGTTTCGAATTAATTTATTTAGTGAAGAAAGTTGAGTTTTCTCACAGAATGGTTTGTAAGCATCGTCAAAATTTGCTGTATTAATTGCAAACAATTTGTAGAAAATTGAGCAGAACTTCAGCAATGCAATCAACCATAGCAATTAAATGGGTAACTTTTCTCTTCTTTTATAAAATACTATGAGAGAAGCAGTTTTCTTTTTTTCAGAAAAAATGACTAATTACTAATTAAAACTAAATCATCAGCATGGCAATAGTGAAAGGACTAAACTGATATTCTAACAGCGTAAATTTTGAGTTCTGATGTTGCTGACGGTATCACAGCATATTTACAAGTCTTATTTTATCCTGTTTTCTTTTTCACATTTATTTTATAAGATTAGTGCTCTCAATTGTCGTTGAAATTTAGATTTGTAACATTGGCAGTGGTGGAGTAACATTGTTAACAAAAGAGATGCTCAAGAAGCATTCTTATAGCTCACAATCAGTTAAAGGTTTCAACTGTAACTTGTTCAACTAAGACTAAGTGGGCCTTGTAATTATTAAATGTCTTTTCATGTCCTGAATTAAAATTAGTTATACTATAAATGTATCTGATTGCTTTGGAACACATTGCTTGATTTAGATTTGTTTTTTCAAACATGTCGTCTTGCTCATAGCTGTATACGTTTTCCTGATATCAACAATCGACGCATTATTACCGATCCAACTAAAGCTGCTAGCTCAACAGAAGATAAGCGACGTTTAATACGACAAGGGGTCATTTATGGAAGTGAGTAACTGGACGGAAATTTCCGACAAAATTTTTTTTATTTTCAGATTTATCCATTGCTTTCATCTTTTTTCTCAAATTTACAGTTGGTGGTGCTATTTATCTGATGATGGCTACGAAACTTGTCCAGACTGCTGTTCATTTCAAAAATATGCCTTCCGATCAAGTTGCTCTTGGCACAACACGAATTAATCTGGATGAGATACATGAAGGACAGGTTGATGTAGTTTCTTGGGAAATTTCTGAGGAAGAAATTATAACAGATCAATGGATAGCGATCCGATACATAAATTATGGCAATTTGTATGTAATTTTTAGTGTGCAAATATATGCAGCCATCAAGTTCAAAAAACTTTACTTTTTGTAAACATAGCGAGAAGGTTGTGAAATTATGAAGAAATAGTAAATGTGCATGTGATTCAGTGATTTTCAGTGTAAAACGTTCAAGTGGCGTGGCAAGCCATTATTTGTGAAGCATCGTACAAAGGCGGAAATTGAGGAAGCTCGAAATGTGAAACTAAGTGAACTGAGGGATCCGGAAGAAGACTCAGCTCGTGTAAAACGTCCGGAATGGCTTATCTTGATTGCAGTATGCCCACATCTGGGATGTGTCCCTTTACGTATGTGATTCTCTCATTTATTTGTCGTGGACATCTATTACCTACTATGGGTTTCTAATTTAAATTTTTTCTTAAATTCACCTTTACTGAAAATATCCGGACTTTTCAAGCAATAGAAGAAAGCAGAATGTCAAAATATTTACAATAAGTGGATTAAATATGCTGATTTGAGAGATGGACCGTAAACTTATTGCAAGAAATTTATATTTCTGATAACTTATTTAAGTGATTGCACTACAGATCATAGTGTGCTATGCTGAATACACGCAACTCTTACAGTAATTCCTAAAATATCTTCAAAATTTTCAGCATTCATTTTTGCATGTTTTCAGATGGAAAGGGTGAATACGATGCGTGGTTATGTCCTTGTCACAGCTCATTATTCGACAAGTCAGGTCGTATACGATCGGGACCATCACCGAGTAATCTCGAAGTACCACCGTACAAATTTTACGACGACCATACTGTAGTGATTGGTGAAGAGTGATTGATGAAACCTTTCTGGTTTTTGAATAATAATATAATATATTAAAAAATAGTATCAGAGCTGAAAAGTAAAAGACTTATTTTATTTCGGAGGATTTTTTTACTATAGTGTTATACCATAAGTTTGAAATTCAAACGATATTAGCATGTGACAAAACAATATTTGCTTATGACAAAATGTTTTCAGATACTAATCGTAATCTAGAAACTTATCTAGAAATATTTAAGAATTTTAAATTTATTTTTAGCTCTTTTCTAGTTTTATTTTTGCATAACATTTTTGGTTTCGTTTTGTTCTTTAAAATTAGCTCCCCATCTTTCATTAATAGTTTGATCTCGCTGTATTTTTATTTGCTTATAAGTTTGGTTTTTCAGCATTTCATAAATAATATACTTTATCTATATATCTCGAGATTTGTGACTTACGTTTCAAATTCAATGTCAAGATAATCAAATTAAAACACTTTGTAAGAGATGAAATAAACTGTAGAAATAAAATTGTGATGAAAGTCGAACGTGAGAACATGTTTATTAATTTGCAACTCGATATTTTCTATCTAGAAGAAGGCTATTATCGATTTCGTTGTTTTAAAATCGAGGCATAGCCCGAACTTCGGCAAGTGTTCGATCAATTTTCTCCAAAAAACGATCTTTTGGGCGTGATGTTATCTGGACGAAATTCGAACCAACAATACGTGAGTCATGACTACGAACATACGGATGGTCCGCGTACATGTATGGAGTCAAAGGGGTACTGAAATTGAATATGAATGGACTGAGTCTTCATGATTATTTGCGTCACTACATGTTCTCTGCTGTTGGTAGATTAGATCTTATTAATATCTTGTTAACAGGTTGTTAAAAACAAATGTGCATACAATATAGGTTCTACTGATCATTTAACATAAATTAAGGGTTTTAAAAGATTACCTATCGGATCCTTTATAATCAATAATCATCTGCTTGTTGTTCCGTTTCCAGTCGTCATCGGCTTTTTCCCGGTAAGATGTATAAGTGTCCTAAAAATAAATTTTATCTCATTGATTTTTTCCGTATCTATACGATTAATATTACAATGTTTGTAGTTCTCATTATCTAACCGTAGTAACACTATCCTCTAACCAGTGTATCAGAAGGTTAGTAATATTTTTAATACTTTCCTTAAATATTTTTCATATCCATTCACTTGCTAAATAAAAAATTAGATAGACTAAATATGAAAGATATAATGAGTATTCTTAAAACATTTAGATTTAATTAGAATTTTCGAATTTTTGTTGAATTGATCTACAGGCACTTTTCTTGAGCAATTTATCGCTCCTGTACTTCACATTGTTTCGCTCCTCCCCAGCAATATAGTGGTAAGGAGAGGAAGGTTCAAGGGATTTAAATTACTTAGCTTTTGACCTTTCTAGAAGATGTAATGGATATAGGAGCACGGAATCTTCAAAGATAGGTTATTGATTACTAAGTGCTGTTATCATTCCAGATGGATGTTAATATGTTAAGCCATAAATTACAGAAAACAATTTCATGGGTAGAATTTCCCTTTCTCAAAAATACCTCCTTCACATACACTGCAGTATTAGCTGTTCTTTGCATCAGCGACGAAGAGCTGCATGATTTGTTATGAGAGAAACAGTATCACACCTTATTTTGGGAAGATGATAATAGAGTTGAGTTGCAAGTCGAGTTGCGGCTGCTTGTCGGATAATAGGAGGTGTAGGATGATGAGTAATCCTCACCACCCATTAAGCCATACTCACAGAACATGTTCTCCAACGGTATTCTCATGATGTTTTCATCAACTTCAAAAAATGTTAATATTGAAATCCCTTCTAAAATTTTCATTTTTTAAGATTATTAAAGGACAGAATGGAACAGATTGGACAGAATGAAATGAATAAAAAGGAAAATAAAGTTGAATCAAATGTCGAACTAAAACTCACAGGATTCATTCAAGGCAGCAGAACCAAGTAAATCATGAACTCGCAACATATTGTGATTACTTATCAAATTACCCGAAGTAGCAAAGAGTTTTGGTAAATTGTTGCCAGGGCGGAATATATTATGTACATACTTTTCAAAACTCATCGCCATTGGTCCATCAGAGAAAATTCTACTCTCATACTTATTCTCTAAACTTGATGTTGTATTTGAGATTAACTTCGCCTTATCATTGTCATTTCTTCCACTTAGGCTAACTCCAAAGGCGGTTTTGTCCCCATGGCTATGATCATAGGTTCGCATAGTACAATTGCTTTTGCCACTTTCGTTATTGTCTCTGCTCGTGTATTCTGACATATTTTTCTCTATCTCTATAAGACAAAATCTTCAGCAATCACAGATTGTCTAGAAATAATTCAAAGCAAAGTGAGTAAAATTAACAATTTTGAATTCAACAAAAATATGACAAATTCTTACAAGTATAAGAAAATACTACGGTAAATAGATTTTTTGACTTTGAATTAAATTTGTGTCATTACTACAGGGATATTAATCGAATTGATAAATCTGCACTGACATATATTGTTTCAATTCCTTCATTTTTAATCTTTTTTAAACATTAAAAATACATAATATCTGAAATGCAATAATCGAAAAATTTTTCGACACTCAATTTTTTTTTCTAGTTCGACAAACACAGTAGCGCATGACAGGACAAATAAATTACTTTCAGTAGGATTTAGTTAACGAGCAAGAATTTCATGCATTTTCACGGTTTCTTTCTTTTCGTGACGAGTTACCGAGAACTTTATGGATAGTTTCTGGGGCATTTTTATCACAGTTTGTTTGAATTGCACGCCAAACTAACGTTACGTTCATTACCTTTGCCTACGTAACTTCGCAAAAAAAGTGGAAGAGTATTCGCAAAGCAAAAGAGAGATGGAATAAAGCTAACTTCTATAGCACTGAAACAAGCAAGCTTTGAAAATATCGCTGTGATTAAGTCTTAAAATGAATTTTCTAAGAAAAACAAAAATAAAGCCTGAATTTGCTATTCAACGATTTTAAAAATCCACAAATGTAAGAATTCCTACAGCTTATCACCACCCTTCTAATGTATATACCCATGAAATGCACAGTGAATTGTGTTGGTTCGTTATATATAAATCAGTCACTCCTTGTGCATTTTAATAATTTCCGGTAGATGGTAGAACATCGATTGGGCAGGTAACTGAAAATAATGTAAATCAAACTGATAAGCATCGCAATACAATGATGAAGTTCAAAAACAAGAATTTATCCTTCTCCTCCTCCTAGCTTGCTTCTTGCTAAGGAACAGTTGCCATTAGTCTCTTGTTCTAACTGTTGAAAAGCGTTATATCTACTTAGACTCTATCTCCTATTTATTGAATACTTTGTAATGTATATCGCACACACACATACACACACACATACACACACACACACACACACAGACACACACAGACACACACACACACACACAGACACACACACACACACACACACACACACACACACGTGCCGTACACCGCAGTACAGAAAATATTGGGATTCCTTTTCTTTTCAGCACTTAGTTATTTTCTAAACGTTTTAAACTTGCACCTCAAAGCAATTGAATTATTCATAGCAATTCCCTATTCAACCAAAAAATATCACAGAGTTGCTGAAAAAATTAATTTCAAAAAATCAGACATCTTCATATGACTAGCACAACTTTATAATTCAGCAGATCTTGAGCGTTTTTGTGAATGATCACTACTACTTCGCAATGCCTTCCGTTGTAAATGATTCTGAAATAAGTTCTTCAATAAGCCCAAGAATTTGGAAGTAATATATCATATAGAAGAAATTACATTGTATGACATGAAAGCGGGTAAATTACAGATGATTTGGCGGAAATAACCTTTCTTGTAGCTTCGCATCTTTCCAGTTTACAACGATATAAAAATTCAGCAAAAGCAGTTGCCATCGATAGTATCATGCCACCACAGAGAATATAAAATATTCCGGCAACTTTACTAAGAGTTAAACTGGCACTATTACCTCCTTCCTGGAATAGCATTAATGAAATTTGAGGAAAATCGGTAGCTGAAGATCTGAACAAAGGAAAGATAGCAGTAGCAATAAAATGTTCTGAAATTACTTCCACCAATTTTTGAACCTCAAAAACAATTCAACTGAAATTGCCCTATTATTATCGTTATAACTAGCTTGAACGATTTTATGTCTTAAGGTAAAATGATAAGGCTTAAGGTATTTTTTGATCAAAGTACCGGAAAGCATATGTTAAGGGAGAAGAAATAGAAAGGCGGAATATAATCAGTTCATCATACAGCTGCATTCTATGCATATCAAATTCTGAATGTGAAATATGATCTAAGAGTATAAGTTGGTTCTTCTTATTTATCCTACTCAATACAAGTATTATCATCACTATTTCTCAAAAAAAAAAAAAACATAATAATGGTGACCGGAGACATTGACATTCCTTGATCGCACTGTCCTCGATCATACCACCATTTATTTTCCAGTCGTTTCAGCTCACCCTTCTCATGTAAGTATAATATCGCAAAATTAATACTTTCTCTATAAAAGCTTCACTAATCATAAAATTCAACGAATTCATCTTGAATAAATACTGAATATTCTAGAATTATCGAAGTTAATGTTTAGCGTTAAAACATTTCAGAAAATCATGTTAGTATTAATATCTCGCTAAGATGAACACTGCACAAAAAAAAAAAAAAAAAAATTCTCCTATTTATGATACCGTTAAAGGTAATAATACTTCGAAATGTATAAAATGTTATTAAAACTGTTGAACAATACTTCGAAACCTCCAAGCATCATTTAACGATTTTACCGGATGAGAAAGCAAGAAAAGCTACCTCAGCGGGTTACCAATTTTGGTGGCAACTCCATATCCCAAAGAATTCAAATTAGCACCAACTTTCATGGTATCGCATGGTTTCCGAGTATTTTCGTATTCATTGGCTGTTTCTTCCAAAAGAAATGCATATTGTCCCTGAATAGTTAATAAAACTAGTTACAGAAAAGTTGGATGAGTTAGCAGTTTTCTTAATAAATGGGTTCCTAGAATTTATACGGTGTATTCAATCGTCAATTCTGCATCAGATGAACAGCAATCCGCTCCGTGCTTTCTAACTTCTTTCTATGCTGGTAAGCATAACTGAAGAATGTATGTTGCTTGAAAATAACATGTAAAAGTATAAAAGAAACCATCTATAAAGAAAAGATTAAACAAATTCGAGAAGAACCTTGCTACGGCGCACTTTTTCAATCCCTTCAGCATAAGTATTTGCCATTACAGTGTCTGAAGTATTAGGATGTTGTTGTGCACGAAGCTGCTGAGTATACGTATCATACATGAAACTCCACATTTTTTTATAAACGGGTACTGCTGATTCCTGAAATACATACTTGATGAAAACGGTGAGTTTGAAACGAAAGATGATAATTCAGATAGACTGAGGTCGATCTTTTCCAGTCATATTTCGAAATATCAACAAAGAAGAAGCAGAAAACATCGTATTGAAAATGTGATCAATCTTAGTACTGTCATAATGAATGCTACTCTCAATAAATTGAAAACTTTTTATACCTTGAAAAATTCTTCTGTTGAACCACCTTTAACAATTCCATAAAGGATTCTCTTCTGAGCAGCCAGATCATCGACCGATTCAATTGGTGGAGTCATTTTCTCTAGGGTCAGGAATGCTGCTAAGTTTGCAGTGTATGAGGAAACAATGATAAGCGTAAAGAACCACCATGCACTACTAGCGATCCGTCCGGATGGTGCTCTGCAGCATATTTAGGCAAAAGTTCATTAGTGATATTTTAATTTAACATTTTTTACTGGAAGTACTTATGCACTTCTATTTTTAGTGATAAAAGGGCTCTGCATGACCATTACTTTGGTAGATATATCATAACACAGTAAAAAAAGAAAAAAGAAAGAAAAAATTACAAATTAAATCAAACTTCATTAAGCTTGATATAATCATCTAGACGTAGTAATTATATGACAAAAATTTCCAGTTTTTTAAGAATCTAAAATTTTGCAGATGGATTGACAATTCTAAATTTTCAAACAATTACATTTCGGTTCATGATTTCTTGAGAAACTTCAGTAACTTTTTTTTTTTCGATTTGACTGAATTTTCTAGTTAGAACAAGTAAGTAAATAATGCAATAGAGATGAAGTAAAATTTACATGAGAAGTAAAACATAATAATTGAAGTTATGAGATTACGAATTGTAATAATACTGTACTAACAGTTATTAATTATAAATGCTTTTGTATTTTATAATTAATATCTGAGGCGGACTTACCTGGGTAATATATCAGTACCTTGCTGCATAAACGATGATAATGTGAACCATAAACTATTGTACAAAGAGAGCTGCGTTGGCAATTCTGCTTCCGTACGCGTTTCATAAGGACTGAAGGAGCTCACTAGAAATATAGTAAGTGATACCTGAAATGTTAGTCATCATCATGAAATGGCACTTTGGATTAAAACATGGAATAAGATATGAGAAAACTTTAGAATTCATGAACACTTAAATTAAAGGTACTTGAAGCTAAAGATGATTAAGACAGTTGTGAATCTAATTATGTTATCTAAATCAATCTACATATTTGTTCTTATTTGAAGTAATGACTGAAATTAATTTCATTGTTACCAACACTTCCAATCCATTTTATTGGCTAAGTTAATTAATTAATTTAAGCGAAAATATGATAATTTCGGTATTTTTCGGAATAACTAGCTTACTTTCTTGACACTGTCAAATTCAAACTGGCACTCAACATAGTTTGACACGACTTTTTTATTTACCCTCTAGGATTCTATCATGCTTCAGAAATTCATGTTTTGAAATCAGAAAAATTAATTTGAAATAAATAACAAAATAACTTACTCCAGCATATGAACACAGTATGAGGAACCAAATGTTTGTTCCTAGAGGTTGCATGAATGAGAAAACATTGAATTCCTGTTTTTCCGGTTTCTTAATCATGATACTGATTCCAGTGGTCATAAATGGTTTCGAGAAGTCAACGACGCGCTCGCGAGCTTGGTTGATGGTGAGTGGTGCTACGGCAACATCCGCTGTCTGCATATCTGTTGACATTGCTTATTTCTTACAAGGATTTTCCTGAGAACCACCATATCACCTATTATCAAGCTATGATTACCTGGATCCTGTCGTTTCATTAGCTCAACTGTTTAGCACTGTTCATACAGTCTTTGTGGTTC